TTTTAAGCTGTTTTATGGAGGTCTTTATTTCTTGTTCTGTTATTGGGATGTCTAATACATCGAGGCTGTTATACTGAGGTATTGTGTTTAGTGCTTCCATATTGGGGTTGTTTTCTTGGTTAAGGATATGGCTGTAATGTTCTTTCCAGCGATTTCTAATTTGTTCTTCCTCTTTTAGAAGTTCGCCATTTTGAGCCATGATTGGGCAGCTTACCTTCTTAGTTGGGCCGTATACTTCTTTTACAGCCTCGAAGAATTTACGATAATCGTGATGCGTGGCGTACTCTTGATATATACACTCTATATAAACTCATAATATATATACACTCTAATATATATACACTCTATATAAACTCTGTAGGACAATACGTTGTTAAATCCTGTGATATATGCCTAGTAAAAATATAGAATACACGGAGAGAACCTGATAACCGCCAGCCGTCTAGAGCTCTCCTGTAAAATTAGTAAAATGGCGTTTATCATGTTTTTCCCCTGGACCCTTCAAATGTCATCGATAGTCATTTTTAAGTCAACATGACACCTTTTTTTCGACCAGACGGTACTTTAGCATCTAAAAAGATTTTTCTGTAAATATATACCGTCCTGGTCATCCAATGACTGTGTATAGGATTTTAATGGATACGACAGAGAATAATACAATTGACCAGTTGACAGAGAGAGACGCAAAATAAAAAGGGGGATACAGTGTTGCCGGTTCGTAAACGGGTTGGCAGGATTAAGAATGAGCATGATGGGAGCACAAATCGACTCCGATGCTGATGACAATTCGAGACTGCTCTCAGTGTTGCCAGATAAACTTCCTCTAACAACCTCTGCATAACTAATAGCATATTGTCAATTAATATCAATAGTTAGAATAGTTTTCGTTTTCTGGTTAGAATTTTTGTTTTAAATATCAATAAAAAAAAAATTACATATTTAAAAAAATAAACTACTCAAAACAATTATCGCATATTTTCTAAAAAAATATTAATTTGAAAAACAAGACATTTTGAATTCCCTGACTTACGATTTTAAATAGTACGGATACTGTGGAGGGAAATTTGATAAAACAAGCCTACGCGCAGACCTGTCATTTTTAGTCGGCCGACTATTTAGTTGCAAAAGTGAAGACAATACATACTTATGAAGTCGATCAGCCGACTATTTGATTGCACGTGGGCGCAGCTCCATAAGAATATATTGGTTACAAATATGCAACTAAATAGTCGGCCGATTAAAATTGCCTGTCAGCGCATAGCCTAAGACTACGCAATGTAATCAAATATTGGGCCGATCGGCTCCATAAGAATGTATTGTTTTCACTTTTGCAACCAAGTCCAAAGTTGGCCGACTAAAAATTACATGTCAGTGCATACCCTAATTATCCTACAAAAAACTCACAAGAGAAAGGCAGAAAAAGGCATGCTTCAGTTAGAAATATGTAATAATTACTTTTATTCAAATATGCGATAATTGTTTTGAGTAGTGTATAATTATTAAAAGATATTTTCTGATGATACTATTAGAAATGCCAAGTTTGGGAACAAAATTAAATGCACACACTAAATTTTGTCTAAAAAATATGTTTTCCTAAAATTTACTTCTATGATTTAAATTTTAATTCTTACTAGATAGGGAAATTTCCTAGACCTGGCAACTATGACTAATACTTTGACCGTCTCCATGTTAAGAGATTCATTACTTCTTTCCCACCACTTGATATGTCATAGCTGATTGGTCTCATCCCCACACAAAATTTGGAAGCCATTTGGAATTTCTGTCGCCACGTGTGACCCATCAAACTCTTTAGTCATAGGCGTACTAATATTTTATTTCCATTTAGATTTAGTATTACCAATTATAGTTTTAACTTATGAATTCTGTAAAATTTAATTTACTAGAATTTTTATAAGAATCGTTTTATGATAGCTGACAAAGTTTAAGACGAAAACAGTTTAACAATTTATTTCTCACATATTCTATCTTTTCTGTCAGCTGGCCGATTTTTTAAGTACGCAACGATTACAAATATTTACGCAACGTCTTCACCATGCGGTTCGTGGATGCGATTCGTTAGTTCGTCTGGAAATTCGTCTATTTTGTTCGGTATATTTCTTTTAATGGTTCTCCCAAAAATCGATATTCTGTCAAATCGCCGCACAACCCATCGCACGGACGCGTTTGCGCAACAAATCGACCTATCCACGAACCGTGTCAGTGCATGGTAAGTATTCATCTTTATTATAATGCTGTATAGCTTACTGTAACACTTAAATAAAAACTATACATTTGTATAATTCTAACTATATTATTTCACACCCCTTTTGAGGGGTGTGAAATAAATGATTTATTTATAATAATATTAAATTTTTGCAGGGTGGTGTAACTAGTGTTACAACGGTTGTGAGTGTGGTATTACATTATCATAATGTTATAGTATGAAATATACCTACTACCGGTTTTGTTTAATATTGGTACAGAAAACTTATCAGTATAAAGTTTTACTTATCTTTAGCCTTTTTAGTGCTGTTTGTAATCCTCTATGTCTATAATAATGGACAACGAGTAATTAGTAATTCTGAATATATCTATAAGAATTTTTAGTTATAAGTACGCCTATGACTGAAATGTAGCGGCCACCTTCTCCTTCTAGTCAGCGGCCATAATGTCAGGTCCATCAGAGTCAAGGATGAGTAGAGATAAATAAATTTAAATTTATTAATTTTAGGGCCTGCTCTATTCTAACATGTAAGAAATATTTATTGGTGGATAAGTACGGCAGAGATGTAATAAAAAGCCGTTTTGTGTGAATACCGAAATGGTATTTGAAGAACATATTATAATCAAGTTATCAAATTGAATTGACAATAAATTTATGTGCCTGTGTTTTATAAGCCGTCTGCAGAAAATTGACAATAGTAATAAAAAGATGACTCATGGCAATGTTTATCCCAAATTCTAAATCGATAAGAGTTCTCATTAATAATAGTAATGTGGATATATTTTCCAGAACTTACTTTAACTTTCTTTAAAAATTACTTTTTTAATTTTGTACTAGTTTATAGCACTTAACAATATAATCAATCATTTGTCTGTCATCAATGTATCATATACACCTCTATAATTATTTAATACATAATCTTATACTGATTACAATGGTCGACATGTCAACAATAGAATTTGCGCTATTTACTACGTTATGTAATTAACTGATTATCTGCCATATTAGGTAACTGCGGATGTACGTCACTAACGTAATAAAGAAGCAAAAAATAACCAATAAATAAACTAACCAAAAGGTTAGTTTATATTTAATAATACGTGGCTTTGGATGCCAGTTGTCATGTACAGGGTGGGTCAAATTCGACGCTTTTAAATGGAAACACCCTTTTCTATAGGAGATAGGCAAAAACTAATATCGGTGTCTGGAGCTCAATTTTTATCAAAAACATGATGGTGAAAACCGCACATCAATATCTGTTACCGTTTCGGAGTTACGGGGTGTTTTTCAAAATGTGCATTTTTAACAAATCGTTGTAACTTTTTGCTATGGAAAATTTTGTATTTCCATGAAAACATTTCCAAAGCACCTTTTTACGTAGAATTTAATGGTTTAAGTATAATATTTTTAAAATTAATAATTTAAGAGTTATCAACAGAAAAATTGATTTTTTATTTGGGACACCCTCTATATTTTTAATTAACTGAAAAGAATTTAAAATTACCTTTCCAAAAATATAGCACTCTTGATATTTTGTTATAATCCCCTTCGAAATACAGAATTTTTAAAAGTTCGCCACTTTTAACTAGTAGGCTTTGGACCCCTTATTGATGATATTCCCTTAATGGAACTCGAAAACATATTTTTCCAGCAAGACAACGCACCGCCTCAGAACGCTGAAGTTATCAGCAAATTTTTTCAGCCAATTTCAAGAATATTTGAATAGCTAACCAAGATCCCAGCCGTTGGCCGTCGAGGCCGCCTGACTTAGTGCCCATGAATCTAATCCTATGGATATATTTGCGGAAGAATAAAGGTTCCTTATTCTTCCGTATAATCTACACAAGGATTAGAAATACTTAGCAGTTATGAGAGGGTACCTTTCACTCCCTCTGAGTTCCGCGAGAAATTCCGCGATGAATTCCGCGAGAAATGTTCAAAAACTGCCCCGTTTGTCCATAACAGAAGACGGTCGATATGTCGAACACTTGTAGCAAAATCTCATGTCTTAGTTTGCTATTTATTTTTATTGTTATTAGATATAGTTTAAATGTGTTGATGTTGGTTAAATATATTTTAAATTGTTATAAAATTCTGCATCTCTCATAGCAAATATTATTTTCGTTTTAATGGATGCTCACAGCTAGAATTTTTTTGCATTACAGCCGGTGCCGTTCAAAGCCTACTTATTTAAAGCGGGCGAATTTTTATATACTCTATATATCTCAAAGAGGAATCGAGCAAAATATCAAGTGTGTTATATTTTTGGAAAGGTAATTTTAAATTATTTCCAATAAATTAAAAATATACAGGGTGTCCCATATAAAGAATCAAATTTTCTGTTGATAATTCTTAAATTATTAATTTTAAAAAAATTATACTTAAACCATTAAATTCTACGTAAAAAGGTGCTTTGGAAATGTTTCCATAAAAATACAAAATTTTCCATAGCAAAAAAGTTACAGTGATTTGTTAAAAATGCACATTTTTGAAAAACACCCCGTAACTCCGAAACGGTAACAGATATTGATGTGCGGTTTTCACCATCATGTTTTTGATAAAAATTGAGCTCCAGACACCGATATTAGTTTTCGTCTATCTCCTATAGAAAAGGGTGTTTCCCTTTAAAAGCGTCGAATTTGACCCACCCTGTACAGCTGGTTCCAATAAAATTGATTACGATTTAAAACCCATTTTTATTATTTCGGGCAGTATATTCTATGATACCTGTTCTCCATTTCTCTACTTATGTCATACTGACGTTCTGAAAATTTTATTTGCCACTTTGACAAAAGCAAAGTATTTTTTTCAAGTAAAAATGGCTCCACATACATCGGAAGAGCTAAAAGCAAGAATAATAACTAAACTGGAAGATGGCTGGTCCATCACAGCAGTTGCTTATCATTTTAATAAAGGCAGAGCAACAGTTTTCCGAATTAATAAAAGGTGGAGGCAGCAGCAATCTCTTGAACGGCAAGGGGGATCCGGAAGACCTAAAATCAGTACAGCTGAAGAGGACGAAGCGCTTATTCAGGAACTAGTGGTAAACCCCTTTCAAAATGCGAGAAATGCTCGAATATTGTCTGGGTTTCCTGGAGGAAAAACCACGGTTTGGCGTAGAATTCAAAATTTTCAATTAAACTATAGGATTGCTGCAAACAAAACCGACCTTACCCCACAACAAAAGCAGTCCCGCATCATTTTTCCATTAAACCATATACACCGAGATCAAGATTTTTGGAATCGTGTCGCGTTTATTGACGATAAAATATTTCAGTCCTCCAAAAAAGGAAAACTTGGAGTTTACCGATCTGAAAATACCAGATATGATCCACGTTACACAAATTATTTTCGAACTGCAGGTCATTTTAGTGTCAACGTTTGGGGATGGATCTCATCGAGAGGAATGGGAGTGTTGTGCCGTATTAATGAAAGGTTTATAACTAAAATTATATTTAATTAGATCGTGATCGAAAAGATGGTAACTTTCTAAATAATCAGTTGGATACCTAATTTAAAGTATATTTTGTTTTAGATTTATTGGGCAAACCTACCTAGATATATTGGAAAATATAATGCAGCCTAGTGTTCTATCCAGAGAATAATTTTTTATATCAACATGACAATTGCCCGGTGCACACGGCCAATATTATAACTGAGTGGCTTCGAACAAACAATATCGAAACACTGCCATGGCCAAGCTATAGCCCGGATATAAATCTGCTAGAAAATGTGTGGGGAGTCATGGTCAAAAAACTTTACCAAAGAAATTTTTTGCCTCAAAATGCTGAAGATTTATGGGCGGGAATTGAAGGAATATGGGAGGAACTTTCTCAAGAAGAAGGTTTTTTAATATCATTTTTAGAATCGATGACCAGAAGGCTCCAAGCAGTGATAGACGCCGATGGAAGTATGACAAAATATTAATTGTTTAGACCCAGTGGTAGCAGTATGCCCAATAGTAATACATTTTTGTCTTTACGCCACAATATAGTATGTTTACAATGATAATAGTTTAAGAGTTGCGTTATAAAATTGTGGAAGTTATAAAAATAAACTTATTTTAAAGATTTTGTTTATTTTCGAACAAACTTCCATCTAAAAAAATGTACGAAAAATTGACGCTTATAAAATTTAAGCTAATTGCTTGTTCCAGCTTGCATAAGTTGTTTGCGTAGAATGCATGAGCGTCTAAACCAGCTTTAGGTCGCCTTATTTAATGTCAAAATACCTGGAACCGTATGCTGATATACACTACTCAAATATTCAAAAAAAATGTGTAAAGAGTCGTATTCATTTTTTTTGGAACCAGCTGTATATGAAGAGAAAGATGTATCTGAAGAACAGTCAACATGTTCAGTACAATACGATATACTGAGAGAGAAAAGACTATATAATACGAGAGAAGAATGCGAAGTTACCTATTAAGGCGGATCGGTCGACAACAGAATTTGCGCTATTTACTACATTATGTAATTAATTGATTATCTGTATACTATATTAAGTAACTGCGGATGTACGTGATTAAGTAATAGCATGTTTTACGGTTAGTTTATTTAATTATACGTACACACGGCTTTGGGTGCCGATTTGTTGTCCTCCATTCGCGAATTTCAAGTTCCAGAGCTTTACGCTCTGGGCTACTCGAGAATGGTTCTGAAAGGAGCTGTGCGCGATAGCCTCGTGCCTCCATATGGCGCGGAACAGTTCTGAACTTTATGACTCAATTGAATGGAGTGAGATTATCGCGTTCTTGAACAGTTCAGAGCTGCACACCTGCGTGAATGGAGGACAGTAATTGTCATGTGTACGAAGAGTCAATGTGTTCACTGCAATACGATATAAGAGAGAAGAGTAAGAATTTTCCCAAGCGCATGCGCATGAAGTAAAACGTCGCATTAAGTAGATATAATTAACTTTGGATTTTTTTCTCTCCGATTTACAACATCGCCATAGCGATTCGCTTCTACACATGTAGGTAAATGCCGATGAGTAAGCCGCTGACAAATTTCTGTACACTAATACCACGTATAATGGAAAAAATGCAAACTAATACCACGATTAATACTACTAATACCAAGTAATGTCAACATCTTGTACACCAAAATACACCAGCGGTTTACCCCTCCCTCAGTAAATGCTGACCCAAGACCAGTGCCGCTTTATCCATTAGGCAAGATAGGCAGCTGCCTAGGGCGGCAGGCTGAATAACAAAATTTACTTGAATTTTATTAGTTGAAGGGGGCGGCAAAATAAATGGTGCCTAGAGTACCAAATCACCTTAACGCGGCCCTGCCCCAGCCTTTCTCTTGTCGATCCGGTATAAATCTATTATCTTAGCCTTAAATAAATTAGAATGAAATAAACTTTGTTAAAAACTTTCATGTATACTACTGAAATGAAGATAATATATCAAAGCTAAATGTAATCTATTACAGTTGTAGTAAAATGAGTAACTAATTGTCGAAAATCCAGATCCAACCCTGATGCAACATTTTTTTGAAACGTCTACTTATGCGGTTTGAAATTTTGATGCAAAATCCGGCAATACCGCTCAGAAGAAATGTACCCACCCATACCCACCCAACTTTTTTCTCTTTTTAATACATTTGATTTGCCATTAAGCTGTCTACATCACTGTCTTACACGTTAAAATCCAACCCGCAGAGTTGACCTGTCCCGATCGGTATGTCCATTTTCGCCAACCTACATAAGAAAACATATAACTTTGGTATGGATCTAAGTTCTGAAACAACCTGTATATTTCAGGTCCCAAAATCCACCCTGTATATTATTACATAAGTACCATTTCTACCATAGGTATATTTTATAATAATCAAATACCTTTAATTATGATCGCCTTGGTATTTAACGCAAATTTTCTAAAGACTAGACATATATTGCGAAAAAAATGAACTAATTCTACATTTCACGAATAAGGTTTCTTAATTTATTCTTAATTATGTATTCAATACATATATTTAAATTAGTTTATCATTATTAAGAGTGTTTTTTGTCAAATGAAGAAAAATGAGGTAAAAAGAAAACAAAAAACGATGTTATTGTCCAGAACTGAAAATGAAGTGTCATGAAATATTGTTAATAAATAGTATAACACCAATAAAAAACGAAATAAGAACATTAAGTATGCAACAGTAAAATATTTACAAATAACAAGCTTGTATACATGTTATTGTTCAAGTTAATTGCAATTTTATTAATAAGTGGAAAAAAATGTTCAGGCAAAAATAATTTAATATACCGGGTGCGTCTCAAAAGTGACTAACCCCTATAACTTTTTATTAATACAGATTTAAAAAATGAGATTTGGTATATTAGTATATGACATAAATTAGGATTGATTGACATATTGAATTGTTTTGGGTCACTTCCTGTTTCAAGTCAAATAGCACTATTAAATAGCACCCTCGGTATATTTCTACTTAATTTGATCAATGGGGAATTTATATATCTTCAAAATATTATTAAGGTTGCCTGCCCCTCAGACAAAGATTTTCTTAGATATTTTATTTTTTATGATTTTGCGTCAGTAGATCTTTATTATTTGAAAAAATCTAGGTGGCTGTGATATACCTTTTGTTAATTTAACAAAAATTAAGGATTGTAGAGTAAAATACTCAACGGTAATAAAAAGATACAGGTTCAAAATATATTTTAATTATTACAGAATTAAAACTAGATATGAACCTATAATTATGTGACAAAAATTAGCTAGATGAAATCAAATGCTCAAAATGCTTCCCTTCCTGTTAACTGCATAAAATGATTGTCTTTTCAAACGGATCTTTTCATTTTAATAGGCATATGTGGAGTTCTACCTCGAAAAGCAGCTACAATAATTTCTTATGTTGTCGACAATAGTTGGTCGAGTTTTGTAAACACTGTCTTTAACATATATCCCCATAAAAAAACCAGACTAGATAAAATCAGGAACATTTAAATATTCTATTAATTGGTCAATGCAAACTGCAATTCACCAACTAACAGAATCATATCAATTCTTTCTGATGTAGGATAAGTTTGCATTTTTGACAAATTGCTGAGATTTTTTTTTGTTTTAACTGATGATAAAATGATAACTAGTTGTTAAAGTTGGACTAATTAGACAGCTATGTTGAAGTAACGTCAGACATATCACAACCACCTAGATTTTATCAAATAATAAAGATTTACTCGGATCAAATCTTGTAAATGAAAATATCTAGGAAAATCTTTATTTGAGGGGTAGGCAACCTTAATAGTATTTTGAAGAGACATGAATTCTCTATTGAATATCGAAATAATATACTGGGTGTTCCATTTAAAATAAAAGTGTAACATATTTTTGAAGGTGACCAATGTTCAATATTAATTTTGTCTCACCCTGTATAACTTTTGGATCAAGTTTTAATTTAATTTAAAGTACAATAGCTAATTTAACTACATATTAGGTTATACCGGATAAAATCCAATTTAGGTAACTTTTATTGTAATTGAAAAATTGTTCTTTATTTCTAGAAAATGTCAAATACGTCAAAAACCTTATGTTTTAGTCATATACTTCTCTTATAAAACTCACCTTTATTTTTCTCCCAGAATCCGAAAATCAATTAATATCTAGGGTGTTCCATTACAAAAAACACAACTTTGATATGTAACTTTTTTTAGGACACCCTGTAGGACTCTCTATATTTTTAAAAAGTGCTCTGAATTAACCTACATATTATGCTCACAAAATTTGATTTCATTACAAACTGTTCTCCTTGGAGCCTCCGCGGCGTATGAGAGGCGCCACCCTGTACATATAAGAAGTTATCCATATACATTTTTTAAAGTGGAGTTAATCGAATTGTGCGGTGAATGGCCCATATGTAAAATTTAAAAGAGTTCCATAAATTTTATTGTGATGTGGAATTTAAACAAAAGGTAAAAATATTTCCGATATTAGAAAAATTTAGTGTTTTTCAAATAGTATAAATACATACTAGGATAAATTACGATAAGATTAATACCACTTAGAGAAAGTAACTAATGAAAAAACTCTGGTTAGTGTATCCAGATACGTTGTACGGAATTTTAACTAAACACATCATTTTAAATAATATATTGCCTGCAGTAATTGCCGGCATGGTCCCATATCAGGTTTGGTCTTCTGCTAGGTCTCTTAATTCCTTGTGGGTACCATGCTGTAATTTTTGTTGTCCATCTGATGTCCGTCCTTCTTGCCAGGTGTCTTGCCCATTGCCACTTCAGGAATTTAATTCTGTGGATGACATCTATTACCTGGGTGTTTTGTCTTATCCACTCTATTATTTTACCATCTTTTATGGTTATTTCCAGTGTATTTCGTTCTATTGAGCGTAGTGAGACCTAAAGTTGCCTTATAGGTAAAGTCCGTTTTAAGTGTCCAGGTTTCGCATGCATATATGAGGGGTAGTACATTGGTCGAGTGTTTTCTTCTTTAGACATCTATAGATTTAAATATTGAGTTTCTTCCATAAGTACTCCATGGTAACTTAATTCTTCTGTTGATTTCTGATAGTAGAAAATAGGTATAGCTAGTAGAGAATAGAGTCCAATATACAGGGTGGTCTGAACTGTATCCCGGAAACTTCGGTAGCATATTCTGTAGATAAATGTATGTCCTAAAATACTTAGTTTCGGAGATACAGGATGTAGAAGTTTCATTTTTATTTCGATTTTTTCTAAATAATTCCTGAAGTAAACGTCAATATTTGGACGAAAATTTGTGTCTGGGAGTTTTGTGATACGAGAAATTTGATTTTGATGTCAAAATGACTCCTATTTGTAGGGGCGCCACCTACATGCGTTTTGACTGTTTTGAAGAGTAATAACTTTTCATCCGTGCCTGTATAATGGACTAAAACAAAACAAAAATAAACAAATATAATAAATATAAATATATTGACTAAAGAAATATTCATTTCCATGACTTTTTACGTAAAAAATGTCTCTTGGTAAAAATCGCTACGAGCGACCGTTCTCAAGATATTTAGAATTGAAATAGTCAATACATGTCATTATTGACAAAAATAAGCACGTTGAGTATAGTTATTTGACTGAAATAATATATATATTTTTTTTTAATTAAAAATTATTTTTCTACGAAAAAATGATGATTATACAGTTTCTGTTGGACTTTTGGCACAAATATATTTCAAATTTATGATTTCAGTCTAATAACTATTTAGTCAACATGTTTAAATTATGTCAATGATGACAGATATTGATAATTTCAATTTCAAATATCTCGAGAACTATTACTCGTAGCCATTTTTACCAAAAGAACTTTTTTATGTAAAAAAAGTTTTAAATGTATATTCTTTTACTCAGTAGTTTTATACAGGTATGGACGAAAAGTAATTACTCTTCAAACCAGTTAAAACATATGTAGGTGGCGCCCTCTACAAGTAGGAGTCATATTGACAAATATTTGTCATGTCAAAAAACTCCCAGACACCCATTTTTATCCAAATATTGACGTTACTTTATAAGTTATTTGGAAAAAATCGAAATAAAAATGAAACTTCTACGCCCTGTATCTGCGAAACTAAGCATTTTAGGACAAACATTTATACGAACTTTTTCACTTATTTTAATCTGCAGAATATGCTGCCGAAGTTTCCGGAATACAGTTCGTACTACCCTGTATATTTCACAATATACCAAATCACCTTAATTTTATTTTTTTTTTCTAATTTTCTGACATGGTTTCTACCTATATTCCACAATTATAGAAATTTAACTCTACTGGGTTAAAAACTATTTTAGTTAGTGTTTTCTAATAAATTGTGCTAATTTAGTTTTTAAATAAATTAAATCACACGCGGACATATAGACACACTAATTTCTTGAGAATATTTATGTTTTACATAATTTTAATCAAATTTTTGTGAAGAAAATATTCAATTAAATTAATGTAGGTATTTTTATAAATTTGTTTGTATATTATGATAGTCTATACCTAATAATATACAAATCAGTTAAAATAAAATGGATATAATAATTGTCATGGTGTTAATTTTTGTTCCATTTGCGATAAAGTATTCCATTTCCTATATCATAAAATGCATACAAAATTAGTATTTAAAAATATGTTTTTTCAGATTTCAGATGATAGTCTTTTAGTAACAACCTCGCAAGGGACATTACGAGGACATATATTAACAAGTCCTGGAAATAAAACATTTAAGGCATTTCAAGGAGTACCGTACGCGCAGCCACCTTTGGGGAACCTAAGATTTCAGGTAATATTATATTTTGTCTCTCAAAAACCTGTACACAATAGGCAAACTATAATTAAAATTTACAGTTGTATAATGATAATTTATGTTTCTAATTATTGATAAGGCTCCTCAACCTCCACTAAATTGGGATGGTATACGAGATGCAACTAAAGACGGGAATATTTGTTTTGCTATAACCTCAGATTCCCCAGAGGAAAGTGAAGATTGTCTCTTTCTGAACGTTTTCGTTCCCATTTTGGACGATGTAAGTAAAATAGCCAATACACACACATTACCGCTATATTTTGTTTTGGGCAATATTTTTGGGGGTTTTCAACAAAAATTGTTTGACACTCTAACTATCTAAAGGAATACTATATTACAATATATATAACAGCTCTAAAAGCCTAAAAGGCTCATGGTTTGATTGGTTATCTTTCTCCATTTGTGTCTGTCTTTTGCCTATAAAGGCGGAAGTGAAGGGATGGAAAATAATCTCCATCCCTCCATTCTTATCCTTCTCAAGTCCTCTTCAACATCCTTTTTCCATCTGATTCTCGGTCTACCCCTCACTTTTATTTCCACCTATTTCATGTTTCATTATCATATTAGGAACTCTTGCTTCAGCCATTCTTTCAATGTGTCCCAGCTACCTGTGAGTCTTTGTGCTCTTGCTTCTCCCATTATACTCGGTGTCCGATATAGTTGTTTTAATTCTTTATTTGTTCTTCTGGTCCATATGTTGTCTATCTTCTTTCTTCCAAAAAATGTCCTCAGTATTTTTCGTTCCCAAATCTCTAGCCTCGAACTGCATTGAACGTCCACGTTTCACATGCATTGGTCGTATGATTGTTTGGTACATTCTGATTTTTAAATTTCTAGAGAAGTTCTTACATGAGGAAATCTGAGGTCTTAATAATTTTCTGTAGTGTGCTAAATAATTTAATCACATTACCTGATTTATAATGCGCTCATTTACTACTAGTTTGCACCGTATTGGATATTACCATAAATTGTATTTTTTCGCACGAAATTTGCATGTTAAAACTTTGAGAAAAGGCTCTGTAAGTCTTTCCGTTTTCAATTTTCAGCAATCAGGTTAGCATCATCTGTGTAACAGATAATTTTCAGGTAAAGTTGTTTATCTTAAATCCTGCATTAACCTCGTTTACACTTTGAATTATTTGGTCTATTGTTATGTTAAAGAGACATGAGCTAAGGCTATCTCTCTATCAGGTAAGATTTTGAGTTTTTCTAACGATCAAATAATGATCGCTTGAGTAAATCTCAATATCCCCTCTTGGACTGCTCAAAATGTTTTAGTTGTTACCTTAATTACTTTGTTGATAAAAGAACCATGGTTGTTTACGTCATTTAGTATGTTTTTTTTTAAATAACTACTTAGTATAATACTAAATAATATACAGGGTGCCCAGGTTGAGCGTGCATTAGAAGTTTCTAGAAAACCACAATATCTAAATCGGAGATTTTTTGCACATCATTGTTTTACAACGAGATCTATCGATTAAAAATATTTTCAATATGGCGGCACTTCCGGAAATACCGGATGTTGACAGCGACTTTCTTATTTTAAATGGGTACGCCCATTTTTTATTACATACTTATATTCTCTGTAAAATTTTATGAATTTTGATATTAAAGACCCTATATCTAACATTAACCGTTTTTGAGAAAAAAAATATTTAAAATTTTTGGACGAAAAAAACAACTTGTCAAAAAAATTTGTATAACCTAAAACTCAAATTTAGTGATTATCTGAAGTGACATAAAGAGAAGACATGTGGCTATCTATTTCAAAAATTAAATTGTTCAAATGTCATATAATAATGGCGGTAGCTGTCATGGAATTGAGTGAATAAAAAATTATCATAAATTAGTTTTTTCAAATGAAAACCCACTTTTTTAATTTCACTAGTGCAAAGGTTTTCCAATTCGTTACTTTTTGAGTATACATGTTCCTATGCCTAAAATGAATCGTTTTCAAGAAAAATATACGCTTTAAAACTAAATCTCAAAATATCTTAATAACAATCTATTTTAGATATAGGAACATGTATAGGCAAAAAGTAACGAATTGAAAAGCCTTTTCACTAGTGAAATAAAAAAGAGTTTCCTTTTGAAAAAAATGAATTATGATAATTTTTTAATGGCTCAATTCCATGACAGCTGCGGTCATTATTATATGAAACAAAACAATTTTATTTTTGAAATAGATAGCCATATGGCTTCTCTTTGTGGTACAGTGGCTGTGGTAATCACTAAATTTGACGTTTAGACTATACACATATTTTTGACAGGCAGTTTTTTTCGTCCAAAAATTCTAAATATTTTTTTTTCTCAAAAACGGTTAACGTTAGATATAGAGTATTTGATATCAAAAATCATAGAATTGTACAGAGAATTTAAGTATGTAATAAAAAATGGGGGCACCCATTTGAAATAAGGAAGTTGTTGTCAACGTCCGGTATTTTCGGAAGTGCCGCCATATTGAAAATATTTTTAATCGATAGACCTCGTTCTAAAACAATGATATTCAAAATATCTCCGATCTAGATATTGTAGTCTAGAAACTTCTAACACTCAGCCTGGGACACCCTGTATACTATAACATTTACTAAATAACTTTTTATGTTATTATACTATTTTGCCAGGACAATCAATGCAAACTCTCTGTTATGTTGTGGATTCATGGAGGTGGTTTTACACATGGACATTCCCTTTACAATTCTACCGGTCCAGATTACCTTATAGAACAAGGAGTCATTGTGGTAACCTTAACTTACAGGTCCGACTTAAAAAAATCTATATTATATATCTTGAAAATATTTCCTGATTTTTCGCAATTAGGTAAAACAATAAATTTTTATTTGAATTAGGTTAGGTCCATTTGGTTTCCTCTCTACTGGAGATGATGTAATTTCAGGCAATGCTGGCCTTAAGGATCAGGCAGCCGCCATTAAATGGATCTATGAGAATATCGAAGCTTTTGGTGGCGATAAAGATAATATTACTATTTCAGGACAAAGTGCTGGATCAGCTTCTGTGGGATTCCAGTTGTTGTATAAAGGAAATGAAGGTATAGGCACAGTAATCTTGTTTTAGAAATGATCAATCAATTTATTTCATGATATAAGATACTTGATATTTTGGTCGAGATATATTTCTATCGATATTCTATATCAATTTAAACTATATTTAACAACATCAACTAATTTAAACTATATCAATAACAATCAAAATTAATAGGAAACCAAATCATGATATTTTACGGATTATATATACAGGTGTTCGACATATCGACCGTCTTCTGTTATGGACGGGACGGTTTTTGAACATTTCTCGCGGAATTCATTAATTCAACGGGAGTGAAAGATACCCTCGCATAACCGCTAAGTACTTCTAATTCTTATCGAGATTATACGGGCAATTTAAAATTAAGAACCTTTATTCTTCCGCAAATACAAAAATTCTTCAATTATTCTCGAAATTGGCTGCAAAAATTTGTTGATAACTTCAGCGTTCTGAGCGTCGCGTCGTGTGTACGGTGTGTCGTGTCATCTTCCTGGAAAAATATGTTTTCGAGTTCTATTAGGGGCAGATCATCATTAAAAGTGGTGAAGTATTAAAAATTCTCTATTTCGAAGGGGACTATAACAAATTATCAAGTGTGCTATATTTTTGGAAAGGCAACTTTAGGTTCTTTACATTTAATTAAAAATGTTTAGGGTGTCCCAAAGAAAAAAATCAATTTTACTGTTGATAACTCTTAAATTATTAATTTAAAAAAAAATATACTTAAACCATTAAATTCTGAGTAAACATGTGCTTTGGAAATGTTTTCATAAAAATACAAAATTTTCCCTAGCAAAAAAGTTACAGTGATTTGTTACAAATGCACATTTTTGAAAATCACCCCGTAAAACTGAAACGGTAACAGATATCGATGTACGGTTTTCACCTTCATGTTTTTGATAAAAATTTAGCTCCAGACACCGATATTAGTTTTCGACTATTTCCCATAGAAAAGGTGTTTCCCTTTAAAAACATCGAATTTTCCCACCCTGTACAACATATACATATTATATAAAGATATGTGGGTGTTACCTGTTGGTACTAAATCCTAGTCACATAGTATCCAAGGCATTCCTTTCTTAAATGTTGTCATTGTTTTTTTGGTTTAGTGTATGGTTCCATTTAATATTAACCATTTTACTTTTTTTCAATGGGACATCTTTCAATTTCTAGACTATTGAATGTTTGAATCGTTGTTCTTGTGAGTCTTTGTGCTTTGTGTTAGTGTCTTATTTATTGCTTTATGGCTACTGAGGAGGAAAATGATTAACTGATGACCATATTATAAATCCGGTTGAAAAATACACTCCCTATATAAAGTTTTGGCAAAGATTATTATTTAGGTGATTAAAAAATCTTATATTAGATATTCTATATTTGTACTTTGGTGATGTTAAATTTATAATTATTATTAGATTATCTAATTTGTTCGTTTATCTTTTATGGATTATTAAATACCTCAGCTTTCGTATTTTTCCAGGCTATTTTAGAGGTGCTATTATGGAAAGTGGAAGTCCATTAAACATGTGGAGTTTTTCCGTTGGATTTGATCCTAAAGCTTACGCGGTTGACTTAGCTCAACAAGTTAATGCAACGATCGATGCAAATATTAGTTCTGCTGCTTTGCTTAACTTTTTGGTTAGTTTAGATGGAAAGGAAATAGATACAGCATCAACAAAAACAACCGTCTCAGTAAGTGTGCTTTTTAAAAATAATATAACACTTCTCTATCGAAATTTTGGATAATTTTTTTGATTTGGATGAAATTTAATCCTTTTACTGACACCGAATTTAAAATATCCCTGGAGACAAAAAGTGCCAAAAGGAAGGAATTACAGCTGGACTCCCTATAAAGAAAAGAAAGCTCTAAGGCACTCCAATACGAAGAATTCAAATTGATGGTACGAAATTATAATGAAAAATGTCCCGTGGTTTGCAAAAATAAAATATTTTTTGTATTATCGTAAAATTGGCATGGCGAGGAGGAGAGGGAGGAAAGTGTTTTATTTGCTATTTTAAAGATGATATTGATAATATAGGACAACCCACCGGTCGAATTGAATACAACCCGATATTCGATAAAACCACTCAAGGAAGAGATAAACCTTGTGCTCCGTCAAAATGGCTGGTCATAAATAGAGGCCAACCGGATATATGTCCAATAAGACCATTTAAAAAATTTATGGAAAAATGAAAATTAATTAAGGTTCCAAGACTGTTTTTAACTGTAAATCTTCCCTAGAAAATGGGTAAATGGTTCAAGAACCTTCCTGTTGGGAAAATACGATTGGTCAATGGGTGTCTATCGAAGCGAAAAAATCATATTTGGCTACGGAGAAAGTAAAAATAACTAATCATTCGCTACGTGCAACAGATGTGTCGACACTACAAAAGAAAGGGGTTGAGGAGAACACAATGGTCAAAATAACTGGGCACGCAAACCGAAGTCAATTAAACCTTACCTTCAACTCGATGATGAACATCATGCAAATTTGGTTGGAAAAATGAGAGACAATAAAACTGCTACAAGTTCTAATAATAATACTAATGTGTGTTTTTGTACATACTATAGGTTCTTTTAATTTCAATTCAAATTCAGCATCTTTAAGTACCGTAAAGGAATCTAAACATAATAATTTTTATAACTGTTTTTCACTGCTGTTTTACACACACCGGAAAAATCTAGGGATATCATTTTATTAAAGTTAAAAATAAATCTTTTCAATTAACAACCACATATTTGTAGGCCGATTCTTTCTACGAAGTAGTCACACTAGTTATTTCGAAGTGTTTGTGCATTTTTTGTCAAATGTATAAAAGCACAATTGTTCGAATTTAACCTGTACTGGCTATGTTTTTATGATAACTGGCCAGAATTCATTCAAATAACTCTGTTTAGTATTATACGACATTATGGAGCGTAGACATCTTGACAGAGACGAAATGCTAAGGGCCATGGGTATGCTCGAAGCTGGAATGCGCCAAATCGACGTAGCTAGAGCATTAAATGCAACGCAAAGTGTAATATCGCGATTAAGTGCACGCTACCGTAAAAGTGGTGATCTTGCTGAAAGGCACACAGGGCGACATCGCATTACTACCCCTCAGCAAGATCACTTTTTACAATTAAATGCTCGACGCCGACCGACTCTTACAGCACCAGAGCTTAGTTTAATTCTCCAGGAAACACATAATGTAACCGTTAGTCCTGACACTGTTCGCAATAGATTAAGAGATGTCAACATAAGAGGCAGACGCCCCTGGAGAGCTCAACCCTTGACGAGAGGAAATCGAGAGGTACGATATTTGTGGGCTCAAGATCATGTTCAGTGGTCGAATGAACAATGGGCCAATGTTCTCTTCACGGATGATTCACGCTTTGGAATTCATCCGGATTCGAGAAGGCTTAGGGTATGGAGAGAACCGGGATATCTTATTCGGTTGGATCATGTTCAGGAAGTGCATCCTTATCAAGGTGGAACAGTTATGGTCTGGGGAGGAGTCCAGTTAGGCCGAAAAACCGATCTCGTTTTTCTTGAAAGGTTTCTAACAGGAATCACATATCGTGATTTAATTCTTGAACCTGTCGTGTTACCATATGCCAATGATTTTGGGAGAAACTTCATTCTCATGCATGACAATGCACCGCCTCATACAGCCAGAGTGGTAAGTGAGTTTATCAATGCTCATCAATTAAACATCTTACCCTGGCCGGCACAATCTCCTGACCTCAACCCCATCGAGCACGTATGGGACGCGGTCCAAAGAAGAATTGTGAGAATGGGTATGCCTCGTGAAACTCGTAGGGATCTGGTTCGGGCCGTGAATGCAGCGTGACAGGCTGTAGCCCAAGAAGAGATCGACAACCTGATCAGGAGCATGGAGAAACGATGTAGGGCTGTAATGAACAGTAGAGGAGGCCATACCTTTATTAAGTAAAAATGGTTTTATCTTTTTTTTTTAATTCACAGTTTAGAAAAAAAAAATGTGTGTATTTTTTTGAGTTCAATAAAAATCAAGGTAAATTTGAAAAATTCGGTAAATTTCGCATTTTTATTTCCAATACGTCCTGTAAACTATTTGTTTATTTTAATTTTATTATATCAGAAATGCAAATAATAAAATTACTGACGATGGCTGGATAAAATTGTAATATCCCTAGACTTTTCCGGCGTGTTAAATAGATTTTTTTTAATATGTTCAAATAAATATTTTTAAAAAATCTATGTATTTTCACTTGTTCATGTTTTTCTTTCGTGTTTTTTTATTCGGGAAATATTCTACCGAATTACACTCGTGCATCAAAATTAACCTGATAATTTTTCATTTAAGCATGTTTCAATAACAGCATTCGTTTATATTCATATTTTGGAAGAGCTTCTTATGGCAAAATATGAATATAAACTTATGCAGTTTTTAGACAACATGCTTTTATGAAAAATTATCGGTAATTTTGATGCGCTTCGGTAATTATTTCCAAAAATTTTTAAACATTTAAAATCAACGAGTTATGGGACCGATGTTTCTAGACTTCTGCATTACCGGTGATAGAGCCGGCATCGCAAACAGCTTTTCTAACGGCTAGCCAGTACGAATTACTTGCAAAGGGAGACTTTATCCAAGTTCCTCTTTTGATTGGAACTAATTCTGAGGAAGAAATTCATCAAGGTCAAGGTAAAACATCTTCAATTATTCTTCTAAACATACTTTACAATTGACAATAAACAACACTAGATTTAAAACAGAGCGGACTTTTTTTATTATTTGTCTAATTAAGATTATTGACAATATCCAACAAATGAGTGAAAATTCAATTTGTCAGTGAATTCAAATAACAGACATGACTGTCACTGTTGTGTATTCTCTTGTTGGACAGACTATAAATATCTTAGTTTAATAATGGAAATTCATATATTTCTAAAAAAAAACATTTTTAGATTTAGAAAAACTGGCTAAAAATTTGGAAAGTTACGAGAAAAATTATGAGAAATTTATACCAAAAAACATGGATTTATCTGTTAATGTTAATAAATCATTGGTTTCAAAAACAATTAGAGATTTATATTTAGACAACGTTCCTGATGATTCAAAAATGGGACATTTAATAAAGGTATTTTTGTTATCTACATTTTCTCCAACAAATCATGTAAATACTGTATAATTGTATATTTTATCTAGTCAATTTATGTAATTTTTAACAATCAATTTACAGGTTTTTTAATAAGAATTATCTCTTAAAAAGTGAAACAATAAAATCTTGAACTCGTTATATATAGGAATTTCTGTTAAACAAGACATTTTTTTTATTTTCTAATGTAAATTGTCAAGATTTTGCAAAACATATATTTTTATATTAGTTCTGAATGCCGCTTTTATAACAATTAATATTACTTGATCTAGATGATGGATAAATTAAAAAAAGAGTACACTATTTAGTGGAAGGCATAACATTTGTTTTAAAGTGAAAGACAATGAAAAGAGTTTGTTTGAAAGTTGTAGACTACTATGAAATATAATATTATCTGGGTTCATACCTGGATGGTATCAGTGATCTTGATATAAATTAAATCTTAAAACTACTGAACAAATCTAAATCTGAAATATCTACTATAGCAAGAAATTAACCCGTAGCAGAGTTGGGTGCAGCTAAGCGTAAGGCAATTCACTGAGAACACCAGTATTGGTGTGTCATGGGTGTGTCCAATAAATGAAAAAGCCGGGTTTTCCACCACTTTATGCTGTAGTGTTTGAATTACATATATGGCCCTGCAATATTTGCTTTCATTGTTCCAAATATCTTTTATGTATCTTTTATATATCGTATGTTTCTTTTATGTTTGTTAAGTCGTACATTTTTAAGACTTAGATTAGTTAACACCTGATAACGGATGTATCACTACATCCGACCGAAATGTTTCGTTAAAACGAAAATTAAAGAATTCCAAATTACAGTCCAAGATGATCTTTTATTTCGTATAATCTAAATTTCCGTCCATCCATTAGTGTTATTTATAATGATTCTCTTAGAATACCCTTGTGTTCATATCTTACTTTTTTTTAATATAATTAAGTTGTTGACTAACTAACTACATTTTTTTTATCTGAGGGATATTTATATGTCAGGTTGGCTCTATGTTTAGTTATATTTATACTAAAGTTTTGTCATATAAAAGTACTATACAACCTTTTGTACTTAATAACACTACTATTGACGTCGTGGACTCTGTGAAATTCTTAGGACTTCTTGTAGACAACTCGTTAAAATTTCTCTCACATTGAAGCTCTATCAAAGAAACTAAGCGCTGCCTGTTTTGCGCTAAGATCAGTTTCTAAGGAACTTAACTTCTCAACCTCTAGAATAGCCTATTATGCCCTTTTTGAGTCACATCTTCGTTATGCCCTTCCATTCTGGGGTACTTGCTGCGCAACAAAATTTTATCGTGTTTTCATACTTCAAAAGAGAGCAGTTCGATATTTATTGGGACTGAACAGTAGAACTCACTGCCAGAATTTCTATAAAAATTTGAAAATACTGACTCTTCCTTCTTTATTCATTTTTGAATCCGTTTGCTTAATCCGCAAGCACATATCTGCTATTCCCGAAAGGCCATCTCATAACTATCCACTTAGGAATGCAGAGCACGATCTTTATCTGCCAACCCCGAGCTCAGAACTAGTTAAGGGTTCAATACTGTACAATGCCAAAAAAATGTACAATCATCTGCCTTTGAATATCAATTCGCTTTCATTCTTTCCCGCATTTCGCAAGGCTCTAAAATCATACCTATTGGAGAGAGCCCTATATGCGGTAAACGACTTTTTTGTTGATGTTTGATTATGAACAATTTTGAATTTTAAAATTTTGATCATCTCACACACTGGTCAAAGGTCAAGTATTTAATATCCTATAACTTTAAAATTATATCTATTTACTGCGTACTGTTCTAAAATTGTCCATGTATATTCTTTTTGTAATTTTAAAGACTTAAATTTTTTTGAATTGTATTATTTGTATTGTGTATTTTTTGTTGTTTGTATTTTTTTGTGATTTTGTTGTTTGTGAGTGCTTTGTCGATGAAGCTGTTTTGGCTTTTTGCACAATAAAGCGTTGTTTGTTTGTTTATTATTATATTTCTGCATTTTAATATTAATACCGATTTTTCAACTTACTTCCTTTTTATTTTCTGGAGAAATATAAACTATTTTAATTTATAGAAATCTCTTTTAGTACATGAGCCACAACACCTTTACCAGAGCTGTCATAAAACATGCCACACTAGCCGTAAATTACACCGCAGTTTACTTTTATGTATTCTCATACGATGGACCATTAGGAAACGTAAATATTACGGTAAAAGGTATGTTGATCAATGTACCATAATATTGTACGCATACAAATTGTACATACTCTACCTATATGGTAGAGTATGTCTTCGGATCGTTTTTACACTTGAGGCATTGGCTGAGGATCTCCTCTCGCACAGCGTCACTTATATTTGTTTAAAGTTTGTTATACTCATAATCAAAGTTTATTATAAATGTTGGTCCGAGGGGTAAACCGCAGAGGAATTATGGTGTACACTATGAAGGAATTCTACAGGAATTCCAAGAAATTACGAGGAATTCCAAGGAATTACTAGGAATTCCAATGATTTGTGTAAGAATTCCGATGAATTCCAAGGAATTCCTTAGAAATTTAGAGGAATTCCACAGGAATTAAGAGGAATTACAAGCAACTTTATAAAACATTAACGAACATTAGTAGACCATGAATACTATAATAGGTGATAATAGGTAGTACTGAATTTAAAGAAAAACGTTTTGCAGGCGATTTTTTACAATCCGTTTTTCGTTTTCGAATCGCTTCCAAAATTTCCCATTATCAAATATCTACAGGTTAGATATTCTTTTAATTTAATATTGTACCCCTCGATTATATATCTAAAATATATTCCAATAGTACGGCCGAACCACCCCCGAGAGATCTACTTATAACGTTCCCTGATTTCGCCATTTTAAAGAAACCCTCATAAGATTTTTTTATCAGAAAGTGTAAAGTTGTTTTTTTCATTTCCTCGGAATAATACCTAGGTATATACTATAGGGAAATTAATACAACTTTAGGTGCACTTCATCAATGACACCATGCGTAATCTTATGGAATTTATGGTGATCGTATTATGACGTGCAACTGAAGTTTTATTAATTTCCTTTCCTACAGATATAACTAGGTACCTATCATTTTCAAAAAATCCAGAGAAAAATTAATTTTAATAAGTAAGTGCCGACATATTTCCATGATCCCCTATTAATCCTAAAATTTAACTAAAAAACGTAAATGTCGTAATAATACTTTTTATTGTTAGATCTAGTACTTATAGAGACATTAGACATTTATAAAAATCACGAGAAAATTCATTGCGGAACTGCGAAACCGAGGTGGCAACGCTGGTTCAGACTGAAAGAGTTACCGAGTTCGTACCAAGGAAGACCTTGAATGATTGACCTTGACCTTGAAGACCAAGGAATTCCAAGGAATTCCGAAGGAATTACGAGGAATTCTGAGGAATTATTTGAGTAAAAGGAATTACGGTGTACACTTTTCCCTCTGCGGTTTACCCCTCGTGTTGGTCTTATTGAGTTATTGGACATTATAATAAACACTGTGTGTGTGCTCCAAATATAATAGTTAGTAATAATGGAAACAAATTAATTTTAACATAAAGACGTGTTTTTATATTTTATCCTTATAAAAAAACTAACCCATACCATTCAACCATATTTAGAAATTGTTTTATTTTGTTCTGAAAATGTAAGAAAATTTGAAAGAGTCTAAATGACAATAACCATTTTAAAACTAGCAAAAACGAATGTTTTTGTTTGTTTAAATGGTTATTTTTCTGAAATATTTAATAACAAAAATGCTTTCTCATATAAGGACGATCCAGGAGCATACTGTACAACTGAAAAAGTTGAGTTAGGCGGATAATAATCCTCCCTTTTAGACTACTGAATTATTTTTTTTTATAAGTTACTTTAATCGTTTTGATAATTTTGATTGCTTTTGTAGGTGCCGACAAAATCGATCACGCTGAAGATACGAAATATCTGTGGAAGAGAGTTGGTAAAGATTATTCTAACGACGATCTATCTAAATATCCTGCTAGCGATGTCTTGGCTCACAACCGTTTGATATCACTATGGACCAATTTCGTCAAATATTTGTATAAAATTTACTATCAAACTATAATTTAACTAAATTTCAATTAACATCCGCAATTTTTTAGAACTCCTACACCAGAAAAGACAGAATTGTTGCAAAACATAACGTGGCCAGAGTATGACAGCGAGGAATACAGATATTTAGATATTGGAGAAAATCTTGAAGTGAGGAAGAAACCTAAGAGGCCATATTATGATGCTTGGGATCAGTATTATGAAGAATGGGCTAGACATCCGTTAATAACATTCTGAACCTGTCAATTAGGAGCAATTTGTAAACATAATGTCTGCTCGGGAAAATATTATATGATATTATTATTAAGACAGTCTGCTATTTTGATTTAAGGAACAGAATAATGATTTAGTGCAAAATTAAAGATATGCTTAGTATATCATTTTGTATTTTAATTCCAATTCCTGAGAATAATATTTAAAGGGATAACACGATTGGATAAGCAGCAAAAAGATAAATACATATTCTTATGTGTTTGATTTTCAAAAAATAACCAAAAATGAGTCATTAAATATTGATTTCTAATATAGTAAATGCGTAATGAAACATTATACTTGACAAGACTGTGTTAACTCATGATATAAAATACAAGGTGTTCCATTTGAAATAGACCAAAGAAATATTATATTCAATTTGAAATATCTCTGTATACAGTATATCAAATTATATAGTCTATTTTTGTATAGTTAGATTATAGAAATCCAATACTAACATTAAGATTACCTACTTGGTGTACGTTTTGGTGTACCTACTAACGTTAAGGTACACCAAACTTCTTGCTTTACCGATTTTGTTCCAGAGCCGGGTGCAACAGTTTTCTGAAGACTCATATTTTCAAAATCGATTGCATTTTAGTGTTAAAAAGCAAAAATATAGTCAGCAGTTCCAGCTCCGGTACACCTGGTGCTGAGAAGCGCGCAAAGGTACAGTTTTAGTTAACACTTCCAAACTAAATAACATTTGAATACAATCTAAAAAAATATAACAGTCAGACAAAGCAGTATGCGCTACCTCAAACGCGTTGCCAAAAAAAAATTGTCACTCAAAGTGATTTCTGAAGGATGAAACTTTGCAGGTAATAGTGAAAATAATATATTTATTTATAAAAATAGTCAAACTTGTCGATAATAGAACCCCGTCAGTTAGCAGCTGATGGATCTTTACGCAATATATACTAAGTGACATTGAAAATAGAACACTCACTAAAAATTGTTTAATTTTAATAATCTTTTGTACATGAATGTAGGTTGACAAAAGGCGTAAATGATCAAAATTTGGAGTGAAAATATTGGCTCATTACCTTGTCCTTGTTAATAATGTGTCGGACAACCTCGATGTTCTATACATTCTTTGAGCCGTCTGGGCATGGAACTAATCAGATGATTTATGTCTTCTTGCGGTATTTCATCCAATGCTAACAGTATCTCATGCCGAAGAGCTTCTAGTGTCTGAGGAGGACGCGGTAAGTTTGTCAGTCTTCTACCCATGAAATCCCATACATGTTTAATTGGTGAGAGATCTGGAGATCTTGGTGGCCAGGGTAGGAGATTAACTTGGGCATTATGTAAGTGGTTCACAGTTAATTTAGCAACATTGGGACGGGCATTATCTTGTTGAAATATAGGGTCGTGGAACGTTCGTAAGTATGGTAAGAGATGAGCTTCCACAATTTCCTCAATATAGCGTTGGGCTGTCATATTACCTCGAACAAATACAAAAGGTGACCTGCTACCATATGCGATTGCTCCCGAAATCATAACTCCTATAACTTGGTTTACTTGCCTCTCCATGAAAAACTGTGGATTCCGCCTTTCTCCATGGTATCTTCTCACTCGCGCCCGACCGTCGTGCATTCCCAAACAGAATTGCGACTCATCACTAAAAACGATAGCATTCCATTCTGCGCCCCATTCTTGTCGGGCTCTGCACCACTCTAGACGTTGTCGTCGATGTTCAGAGGTCAATGGTAAAACCCAATGAGACCGAAAAGAAATCGGTAAACAGTTCGCATCGTGATGAGTCTTCCGTGTTCCGTAAACCATTGGTTAGCAATTGCTCGGGAAGTGGCCGAACGGTCTCTGACAGCTAATTGCCTTAAATGGCGATGTTGACCCTCAGTGGTTAATCTTAGACGCCCTGCACCTCTGGCACGATGTTCACGGTGTTGTTGATAATAAGCTCTACAAGAATTGGCAACAGCGCAAACACTTCTATGGACCCTATCAGCAAACTCTCGAACTGATATGCCTGCCTCCCGCAAACCTACTGTCCGACCTCTATCAAAATCACTGAGTTGTCTAAAATTGGCACGTCTACGTATTCTAGGCATTATAATAAACTCAGAAAAACACCGGAAACTACTCTGTAGCAGAATAAGTAACAACCTGTGCGAAAGCCGGGTCTATATTGGATGACTGGAATTTTAACAAAAACATGTATAGCACAAAAAGTAGTGTGTTGACGGCGTTCAAATTATAATCATTTCTTATCCATACAATAATAAGCATGCTTACAAACATTCATTAAAATTAAATAATATTTAGTGGATGTTCTATTTTCAATGTCACTTAGTATATATTGATATTCCGCTGTCACTATTCTCACCACCAAGGAGAAATTATTTTAGTACAAAAAAAATACATTTTTATAAAAATTAAAAATACTGTATTAATGTGCAGGCTGGTGCTGCTTTCTTGCGATTAAATTAGTAATATTCGGGTAGATGTTTTTACTTAGTTGTAATTTGTAATCTTAAATCGGATTCCAATTATAATCTGTTTCTGTATTTGTTTTTGATATATACAAGAGTAAAGAATGCTTTTTCACAGAGGTATGTGGATGAGAAAAGCAGTAATTGTTACAGTGCTTCTTCTGATATATCTTTATAAACTTTTTTTAAATTCACCCAAAAATTTGATAAGGAAGTTTCTTTAAAATTATGTTATAAAGCTGAATCACATGATATTTCTATTAATTGATTGTCCTGTACCGTTGTCAAGCGTTGAAACATCTACGTTGAGAGGGTCTGGTATCCAGTTTTTATTTCTGTCGGGTTCTGAAAAATATTTTGGAAAAGATGACCTCAAACCGCGGAGGTTTTTGATCATTTCGTCTTCTACTTGCGTTGGCAATATTTCCCCACCCATATCTGCGAGCGTTTAGCGTGCGCCAGCAAGTGTGACCGCCTGCTGGCACACGCTCGCCGTGCTAAGCGTAACGATTACTAACGAGACTCGCTCGCATTTAATTATTAATTCAAATGTTCATAGATACGGTGGACCCCATACACATTTACACATACTCGGACCACAGATTAAGAAGCAATGATCTATGTTTTTACGCAAGACAAGAATTATCGAATGTGATACCACAAGATGTTTCGGGATTACCGAATAATACTTTTACCTGACACCTATGCCTGACACGAAATGCGTTACCCGGCAATACTACGACTCCGTAGGAGGAGTATTGTTGCCGGTATCGCATTGAATTTCAGGCAAAAGTATTAGATAATCCCGAAACATCGAGTTGTATTCAAAAGATTATACAACGAAATAAAGTACATACAGAGAAGACCAGGCTACTAGTAACATAGCAAGTTTCCGGACGAATTTACGTTTACCCGTTTTGCGTTCGTACTCGAGATTCACTGCCGGCTAGTCGGCTGGTCAGGCAGTACGAAGTTGCAGTTGTGCTTGGACGGGTCGGTCGTGACAGACTAAGAATACGACGCGAGGAGTGCCGAGTATTTATTATTTTCATTTTAAGTGTTTACCTTCAGTTAAGGTAACATTTAAAATGAAAATACTTAAATATTTATTATTTGAGTGTGTTTACAAGCCAAAACTAAAAATAAATAAATTCTCTAAACCCAAAAAAAAACTAAAATGTTACTCTAAATAAAAAAAGTCATAACAAGTGTTCAAAAAGACCATCTTCTTGTGCTAGACAGAAGCCTAGGCGGTCGTAAAATCCCCGTCTGACATTGGCTAACATATTAGGGCTAATAGTTTGAAAAGCCTCTCGTATTTTTACTTGAAGCTCATCCAGATTACTAGCCCTATTATGACCATACACTTTGAATTTTACATAACTCCACAAAAATAAATCATTGGGAGATAGATCTGGTGATCTAGCGGGCAACAAAATAGTTCCATATTCACTAATTAAACGGTTGGGAAAAGTATTGTTCAAATATTCTTGAACAATACGGGCATTGTGGGCAGGACAACCACCTCAGCAATTTGATTACTTGAAAACGTGGGATTTTGATCCGCGGTAGCACAAATGAACACGTGCTATAACTCCTGTTCTTCATTAATCAACACATGAGGCTTTTTGTGTTTTTGTGGAAATACGCACCCGCATGTGTTTCAAAATTATTAATAACACTTGATACAATAGGTAAAGATGGAATTGGCCTGTTTACAAAAGTTTGTGGAAAAATTGTTTGTATATCCCGATAAGACCTATTTTGGAAATACCATTTTGTAATCGGGAGATTAATATATTTAACAGAAATTGATATTTAAAATATAATTCTAACTAGCTTGACAATCAATGTCTTCTCTCTGGGCCGAAAATCAACAACCTCTGACATTCAACTGTTTCCAAAGCCTACTACTCCGCTACTCGCCAACATCAGCGGACACGGGGTGCAGGCAAGGCGTGAAAATGACTGCCTATCATAAGGATCATAGGCGTCCATAACATTCGGCCATTCCTGACTTTTGAGTGTCCTCACTCCTCTGAATCACACTAAAAGGACATAAATAATCAGAACCTTTTAAATGGCATTTTTAAATGCTGAAATAAAAATATTCATTAGTTTTTTTTGCTGCTGAGCCATATCGTTATCAGCTAATTGCTACCATTGTTCACACTAAAAGGACAAAAATAATCAGAATCGTTTAAAGGACATTTTTAAATGCTGAAATAAAAATATATTATGTTAGATTGTTTGCTGCTGATACTAGACAATTGATACAAAACCAATTGACAAAACCTTATCAGCTAATTGTTACCATTATTACAACACACTTAAAGGAGAAACAATCAGAATCGTTTAAAGGACATTTTTTAAAAGCTGAAATAAAATATATGTTAGATTGTTTGCTGCTGATACTAGACAATTGATACAAAACCAATTGACTAAACCTTATCAGCTAATTGTTACCATTATCTCAACACACTAAAAGAAGAAACGTTATCAGAATCGTTTAAAGGACATTTTTAAAAGCTGAAATAAAAATATAGTTAGATTGCTCACTGCTCATACTGGAGCTACGTCTTATTTTCTACTTAAATAAATAAAAATAAAATATCGTAACTCACTCAGAAACAATACTCAAAAACTCATGATGGACAAATAAATTATTCAGGGATAAAATTTCAAATGGTAAAATAAACGAATTACTTATTATATATTGGTATTACACGCAATCTGCAGCTTGCGTGCAACAAAATAAAGTTAAATCTCAACTCTAAAATCTTAAATATAAATTCTAAAATATAAATCTAAACTCTAAAATGTAAATTGTAAAATCTAAATCTAAATTCAAAAATCTAAATCTAACTATGGGCCCACGCCTTTTCCAGCCACTGGAAAAGAGAGCAATCCGGGTCGAACTAACCAGACCGAATACCGGGACTCATCCCTATTCGCAAGTCTTGTCCGCCCTACTCACAAAGCGCCCAGGTGGTAAACTCATACCTTAGCAACCACCACACGCCTTTTCCAGCTATCATACTAACGTATACCTTGAAAAAGAGAGTACCGGGTAGAACTAACCCTACTCCTTTTTCCTATCCTAATACACGTTTGAATCTACCATAACCAAATCCATAGCTTGCCAAACCTAGCTATTCCACGGTACTTTGTTCTATGACCGTGCATACCATCCTAGGATGTTTCTAACTTCATATCAACCAATCCTCAGCTGCTTAGAAGTTCAAATGAACCTGTCTGCCATGGAGTTGATTGGGATCCTATTAGCTGTGTCGAAGTGATCCTTAGTAGATGTAACGCTGAATATAGTTCGCTACGCCGATTCGACGACGGTATCCGAAATCCGACGTCTACGGGTACCCGTATCTGAGACAACCGAATAGATCCTCGAAACCGACGCGACGCGACGCCTTTACAAAACGATAGTCTCAAAGGTCAAAGTCAAGTCAATAGTCGTCAGTAAGTCAGAAATACGCCGTTACGGCCTAAGAACGCTGGATTAAACTCATCGCCACTTCTGATGTAATCGGGAGATTAATATATTTAACAGAAATTGATATTTAAAATATAATTCTAACTAGCTTGACAATCAATGTCTTCTCTCTGGGCCGAAAATCAACAACCTCTGACATTCAACTGTTTCCAAAGCCTACTACTCCGCTACTCGCCAACATCAGCGGACATGGGGTGCAGGCACGGCGTGAAAATGACTGCCTATCATAAGGATCATAGGCGTCGATAACAATTTTATAATTTGAATTTTCTCACGAACTTCGTAAACATCCATTATTTTACTTAAAAAATAAATTTTACACGAGAACTGTCGCGAGAATATATGTATTCGTTTTGGCTATTAAAACACGAATAAATACAAATTCTCAAACATTCTTATCACATATCTACCTATTTTTATTTTATCGCATTTTTTCGCTTGCTTTTTATCCGGCGGACGGGTATACGCTAATTCGTCCGGTTCTGCCTATGTTACTACTACGGTGGTCCGGTCTGTATATCCTTAAACATTTTTATTATAATTGACGGGATATTTTGTGGAACTGACAGAAATGACTTCTGAATTAATATTTCAAAAAATGACAATTACAATATGGCCAGCAATCAATAATCACTTAAATGATTATCAGTTATTAATCACACCCTTCTATATAGGAAAAACATACATAGAGTTGTATAATCGGAATAATATCTTGATCCAGAGCCAGTACTAGGAATACCCCCAAAACCTTTATATCTTTATGGCCTGCTTATATCTATCCTTTTTTTTTGGTGAGATGCACACTGAAACGAGAAAAAAAAATTGAAATATATATTTCCTTAGAAAAGCTTCTGAGATTAGAAAGCACTAAAAATCTCAATATCTCTTTAGTTCAACACGAATTTGTCAGAATAACGAAAAGTCACTTTAAAAATGTTATATCTTTTTTTTTAGTTAAAAATATTATTTTATCTATTTTATCTAATTTACGTAGATATAGAAGCACTATTTTCTTTAGATTATTTTGTTTTTTTAATCATATTCATTCATATAAAGTATTCAATTAAATTAATGAAATATCATAAGTTAGTTTGAAGTTTAATGATTTAGTTTCTTATCTAACGTATAAATAGAAATAAAATGAATATATTATTTATTTTAGTGTTAATTTACATTCCTTTTGTGGTAAAGTATATCTCTCTTCAGAAAATTATAAAAGCATTGTCTAATATGCATTTTCTAATCAGATTTCAGAGGATGTTTTTGTTACAATTTCGCAAGGAACACTACGAGGGCATATATTAACAAGTCCAGGAAATAAAACTTTCAGGGTATTTCAAGGAATACCTTACGCACAGCCTCCAGTGGGAAACTTAAGATTCCAGGTAAAGTGTTCTTTGTTTTGTACAGTATATTTATTTCAATTTTTGATGCGATCTAAAAGGACATCTAATACCCAAGCAGCATTTGGACGTCGGGACAATGTTGTGTCACGCGACCAAACGTCGGGGCGCAACGTCGGCACAACCTCGTGCCAACCCTAGTCTGCACTAGTTTGGATAATAATTTTGGAGTCGAAACGACGTTGGATACCGACGTTGGCTAAAAGCCTAATTTAGTACAAACTGCGACGTTGTTTAAAATCCTAATTCACAGAAATACAAAACTAATATGGCGTCTAAGTCGCGTTTTATCCTAAATTGGGATAATTCTAGTAAAAATATTATTTTTACGATTTATATAGTTAGGGACATATATCAGATGGCAGTGAAGGAAAACAAAAGAAAAGTATTTAAGTGTGGAGGATGTTTGAAGATCATAATTATTGAAACACTTTAACCGACTCTGTAACTCGTTACCCAAGGCAAAAAAGTTAAACGCAAACAACTTTATTGATAAATGTATTGTTTCTACTTTGAAAAATACTAATGGGCCTTAAAATTAAAGAAGTTTTAAAAATTTTCTTGAATTTTTTTTTTTTTTAGTAAAATGAGAATAATTTATTCGCAGTCGAAAAAATTGTTTCCGCGTGTTTTTTAGGGTCAAATATTTCAAGTTAATGTATTCAAAAAGCAGGAATTGCTATTTTAGAAACGAACCATTTTCTTATTTAACAACATGGCGGCTTTCACTTTGTTGTTTTGGAGATTAAGATGGAGTAGTTCGAGTAGTCGCATACCTGGACTAATAAAGTCGCAGTTCGGCCTTAACAGGTAGTATACTAGTCGCAAGATTGCGTAATTTAGTCATCCTAGAGTCTAGCTTGTGCCGCCCTCTATAATCTAAATAAACGAGGGAGTGGATAAACTATCGGTAATATATATCGATGTATATTTAAATTTAGTTTTATATGTACCGTTCTTATGTCCCATTTTAATTAAGTTTTTTTTATAAAAACAAAAACAGCACTGAACTGTCTGACTGAACAGAACAATGAAGTGAAAATTTAAGATTTAAGGTTATGGTTCAATACAGTTGCAAAAAGGTAGTGACTCGACGTCCTACCAACGTAAGAATAAGGGAATCTAAACAACGTTGGAATTAGTAAAACAGACGACGTTTGCATAACGTTGGAATAGGTCCTGAAAGTGAAGGTCCGGAAAACTCTATATTGTCCAACGGTGTAACTACGTTGTCCGAATCACCTAAAGATCACTTAAGCCAAAAAGGTTACAAGACAACGTTTATTCGACGTCGCAGAAGCTTCTACTTTGCTGTAATACTAGTACGGCACAACGTTATAAAAACGTTTAAATTTATTTTAATACCCAAGGTAGGGAGCTAACTATTTTTTGTAACTAATCCAACGTTGTGTTTAGTAAACATGTGGTCGCAAGTCGTGAAAATGCTACTTGGGTATCTCATAGATATCTATTTTTTAATCGTTCAAGTATAAGTTTGTTTTTCTATAAAAAATAAAGTACAAAAAACATATTTTACCATAATATACACTATGCATATTCAATTTTTCGGTAATGACCATATGGGCCAAGAAATCGGTACAAGTAATACATTTAAAAAAGAAGATTCTTCCTCTCTCTTGTCTTCTCTCTCTCGTCCAGCACGTTTAGCTACGTTTCTCTATGCAAAGTGATTTTCAACTAGTCTTTACCATTATTGTTCAGATTCAGAATTTATATATTTTCTTTTTATAAAAATGAGTGAGTTTCAATTCAACTAAACAAAATAATTGCGATAAAACATTTCCTCTGTGATATTTGAATACTTTTATCTATTAATGCATAAGCACACTTATGAATTATCACATCTAAAGATAACTTAATTTCCTGTAATAGAAAATTTTATCTTTTCAGCATGTAATTTGAAAACAATTATCGAACCAAACCATTTTCGAAAAAAGAAATACAAAAATTCTTTATAAACTCAGAAAACAAGGACATTAAATGTCTCTAAATAAGTTAAGAAATATTTGTTTGCAATCTGTTTGGATATTCTAATCAAAAATATATGTTTTAATTTTGATAAGGCTCCTCAACCTCCACTCAAATGGGATGGTATACGAGATGCAACCAAAGATGGAAACATCTGTTTTGCTGTGACTAAGGATTCCCCTAACGAAAGTGAAGATTGTCTTTTTGTAAACGTTTTTGTTCCTGTCTTGGACAGTGTAAGTAAATACACTTATTTTCTACATTACAAGATGGCCCCAGTGTTCCGAAAAAAGTCCATATAAACTTCTGTTTGCAAAACAAAGTTTGCACTGAATATCACAAAAGAAACCCTATTATGAATTATGAAGCTTTTTTGAAATTCTAAACACTGAGTCAGTTTTTATAAGAGATCTGGCTAAAATCATAAAATTAAAAAAAAAAGTTTACGTTAAGTTTTCATGTTTTGTATTCGTTCTAATTCGTCAGGTTGATTTTGAATAAGCTGTGGTATAAGAAACATTTTTTTTTAGAAATTCTAAATTCAAAATTCTAAGAAACATTTGGAAATATAAATTTCGTTAAATATGTTCATGGATTTATCTAATATAATAAATATTCATTATTACAATCATCTATTAGGACAATAAAACCAAATTTCCTGTTCTGCTGTCGATTCATGGAGGTGGCTTTACACATGGATCTTCCGTGTACAAAGAATTTGGTCCAGACTACCTCATCGAGCAAGAAATAATTGTGGTGACCTTAAATTATCGGTATGATATATTTTATTATTTATACAGGGTTTAAACTTTTTCCTACGATGTTCTCTATGGGCATCTCGGAAACTACTGGAGATAGAGAGTCGGTTAAATGGGGAAAGAATTGCAGTTTTGTGGGGTCATAAATATGCTCCTTTCAGATTTTTGAAAAAGTTCATGGCTTCCTAGATATTTCGAAAAAAACAAATTTTGGCTATTTTAAAAATTATCTCTAATTCCATTACAATTTATTTTAGACAAAAAGTGTTCAGATAAAAATTGTAGATAATCATATTCCTAATGAGTTTGTGTTCTCCGATTTTTTTATAAAACCTGTCATTTTTGACATATGACACAAACATATGTTTCTTTAAATGGAAACCATAGTTGGCTATGACTTCATAAAAAGCGCCATTTTTTAAGCTTTTCAGCAATATGAGCTATAATATGTTTCTTTCACAAAATTACTGAGTTATAGCCAATTCTTATCTCTCTTGACTAATTTCACTTAGTTAACCATGGAAACAAGTTCAATCGTCGTTGCTCTCAGAAATGTGAATGAAATTGTGTCACATCCAATCTTTTTAAATTAAAATAAACAAAAATTGTAAATAAAAAATTTTCAAATGAAGAAAAGCGTGTGTGAAGTCATGGCCAACTATGGTTTCCATTTAAAAAAAACATATGTTTGTGTCATATGTCAAAAATGACAGGCTTTAGAAAAAATCGGAGAACACAATCTCATTAGGGATGTGATTATCTACAACTTTTATCTGAAAACTTTTTGTCTAAAATAGATTTTAATGGAATTCGGGACAATTTTTAAAATAGCCAAAATTTGTTTTTTTCGAAATATCTAGTAAGCCATGAACTTTTTCGAAAATCTGAAAAGCGCATATTTATGACCCCACAAAACTGCAATTTATTCCCCATTTAACTGACTCTCTATTTCCAGTAGTTTCCGAGATACCCATAGAGAACATCGTAGGAAACTCACCCTATAGTAAGATATAATCTGGTTCATTCCTAGAGTAGGTACTGTTTGACCAGCGGATCTGAAGCTACGGAAGGAATGCGAGAAAAAAAAATCGATATTGCCACGTTTATCTATAAAATTGCAAAATTGCCAGACGTGAATTATATATTTCATATATTTTTATTATATATAATGTGTTTAGCATATATTCTGACGTATATTACTAAGGAATTTTAACGTAGTTCATATTGTTTGATATGTTTTATTTAATAACTTATTTCTTTCATTCTGTATAATCTGCTTATTATGGAAGGTGAAGATTTTTCAACGATATCATTACCAAACCGGCATCGCCGCGCATGGCCGCCTATTCATCGAATATGATTGGCGAGAGTACGTCACAGGATTTGTTACCACGCGGTTGCCATGGTTTTTACGCCTTTCCTATTCGCTATCTTTATCCCCAACTTCACGGTCTCTTCTGAAAAGAGTAGAAATATTGAATACTATTGAAATATCCAGTGGCGGTGTCATTCTTTTGATCATTATTACTTTCTTTCATTATTTTATACCGGTTATTCTAAATTTTATTCCTATATTGTTCGTATATTTAATAGTTAAGTTGTGTTTTATTGTTTTGTTATCTTATTATAATGTTTTTCGTGCGTAGTTTTTAATTATTGATATTAAGTTTGATCATATATTTGTGTTTTAAAATGAATAAATTTATTAAGGGTAAGACAATACATAGCCAGACAAGAGAAATAATAGCTAATTTTTATAGGTCGGTAGAATAATAATAATAATATGTGTAATTATTAGAATATTAAAATTAAATATTGGCTAAAATGAAAAGCACGCATTTTACCTAAATATTTTAGCTAAACTGAAATAAATATAAATAAACGTGGATGAAATCTCATTTGGTTTATTTCCTTGTGTTCATAATAGGGTTTGCGACGAAGAAGCTACAGAGAGTTCGCTTAAGTTGCCGCTTAAACGTAAACTTGAGCGGATATCTCTTTATACCGGAGTTAGCGTATCGGCAATAAAAAAATTCACACAGAAGATAAAAAAAGGCTGGAAACTAACCCCGATAAAATGATATCCAGCCCTGGAAAGTAACGACCACGTGCTGTTGAAAAGCTCGACGACTTTGATTTCCAAGTGGTCAGGTATTTGATAAATAGATTTTATCTCGAATTCAAAGTCGTCCCCACAATTAGAAAGCTTTTGCAAAAATTGCAGGAAGAATCGAATTTTCCTTTGGCAGGGAAACGCTTAGGGGGTTATTAAAATCAAATGGATTTTTTTGGCGTAAATGTTAAAATAACAGATAAATATTAATGGAGCGGCCCATTATATTGCAGAGAGAGATATAAATATATACGCGAAATTCGAAAATATCGTCAAGTATTATCTATTTGGATAAAACATAGGTAGACAATGACCTAACCTTTAAAAAGTGCTGGCGGAGCGATACCATATCTGGTGTAATAGGCAAAATTGGATTTACTGGTGAGTAAAATTTTGATTTGTTTGCGCTTCCAAAGTTAACTATTTTCAAGATTTTTTTTTGCTGGGAATAGTTATATCTAAAATTATGTATATGTATTATAGAAAAAAATATAGTTAGTACAGATATATAAATAAATATACCTCAAGACTTAGTCTTGATTCGCAACCAGAACACCTTATCACTGAGTGCGCCGAAACGACGACTATTCGTGCCATGAACCTTGGTACGTCTGATGTCGAGGATGGAGAGCTGGCCTCTGTGGAGCCGTCTCAGATACTGGCTTTTTTTAAAGCCCTGAGACTGTATGATGAGTTATAACTCGTTATAACTCAAGAAAGGGGAACACACAATAGATCTATAAGGTCGCGGTGATTAACTCCCCTCCTAAACATTCTACATTCTAGTCTTGATTACCTGCTGATGATGCTAACATGGTTAGCGAAACGTGCGTCCAGTGTAAAAGTAAAAGTGTTTTGGTGTATTGTGCTGATTTAGTGTTTTATTTTGCTGTGTAAGACGAAAGATTCCAACCTTCAGCTGAAATTATGTCTTCTATTATATCTATTAACAACACATAATAATAAAATGATTCAAAATATTTAAGGGAGCTTTAATAAAAGCTTTTAGTGTTTATCTGCTAACTCAACAGTAACGATTCAAACAGCATAAAGTTTTTTGAAAAAAATTATTAATCTGAATATTATATTTATGATACACATTATTTTCATAAAACACCGTACGCCCATGCCTATTTTATGAATGAAACTGGGCGTGTTTTGTTTACAACTGCGTTCCCCTGCCGATACCCCGTAGCTTCAGATCCGTTGATCACACTATATATATGACGTGCTCAATAGTTTGTACATTTTTTCCAGGTCAAAGATGAAACCCGCGGTATTCAAAGCTTAAATATTAACTTTTACTAATTAGAAACATATAGTACTTATTAATATTCATTATTACAATCACCTATTAGGACAATAAAACCAATGGTCTGATTTCAGCATTTTCTTCTAGTTAGGTCTATACCGAGGTTTATACATGTGTACTACTAAAAAATTAATTTATGGGAAGTCTCAACTATACGATTTATTACACCAAACAGATAATTTCATATTTTTAACTGATTTATTTTAGTGGCAATAATGATATCAAAAGCTTCAAAAGCAATTTAAAAGTTTTTATTTTTTTTATTTTATTTTATACTTATTTATTTATATGTATTTAACCTATTTGATTTAGGTTAGGACCATTTGGTTTCCTGTCAACTGATGATGACGTAGTTTCTGGTAACGCTGGCCTTAAGGATCAGGCAGCTGCTATTAAATGGACTTACGAGAACATCGAAGTTTTTGGTGGAGATATCAATAAAATTACCATTTCAGGACAAAGTGCTGGATCTGCTTCAGTTGGTTTCCAATTGTTGTATAAAGGAAATGAAGGTACAACTATATTATATCTAAAATAAAAAAACACTTTGACACAATTATCACTGTCTTTAGAGTAGATGTATACCAAAACTAACAATTTAGCATAAACAATTATACAAAATTATGGCTAGTTTAATAGATATATTTATGAACTTCCTGAATTATTATGTGATAGTGATATTTTGTTGTTAACAAATATTTAATTACATCAACTGTAATTAGCTATACTGAACAGACTACTTCACAACAGATACAATACTCAGAATACCTATAATATTTGACAGAAATACACAAAATTATTATTCCATTATGTTAATTAGTCCATTTATCTTGATTTTCGAATTTTTAATTGCATTAATTTGCGTAATATTCCAGGATATTTTAGAGGGGCTATTATGGAAAGCGGAAGTCCATTAAACATGTGGAGTTTTTCCGTTGGATTTGATCCTAAAGCTTACGCGGTTGACTTAGCTCAACAAGTTAATGCTACGATCGATGCAAACATTAGTTCTACTGATTTGCTTGACTTTTTGGTTGGTTTAGATGGAAAGGATATAGACACAGCTTCAACAAAAACAACTGTTTCAGTAAGTTTTTATTTTGTCAGTTTTATTATTTGGGTAAGAGTAACTATGCACCGTTTTCCTACTGTTCTGAGAAAGCTGTTTTCTAAATTATAAAAACGAAGTAGTAGGTAATATTAGCGCATAGCTAAAAAGGAAATTGTTCCACCTACTGGTGGAACAAAATCATAGGCATAAATTTTCCATATACAGTTGTACAAATATAGGAAGAGACTTGGGGATAGCACCGGTCGCCGTGTTATTTTATATTTCTCACGCCTCTAGCTATACCTGTTAAGTTGTACCTAATGACTGGTTTTTAAAAATTATCTCAAAAATATAACATAGATATACATATTTAGATAATCTTCCTGCAATTAGACCCATTGTTGTCTATTGCTGGCTATGCGGGTCCAAGTTATCACTGCTAATTTCCTAAAAGCATGGTTCCATCTTAGGTTTGGTATTCTTCTGTATCTTTTAATTTCTCGTGTGTGCCATTCTGTTTGTCTTTTGATTTATCTACTGTACGTCGTTCTTGTCAGGTTCTCCTGCCAATTTCTTACATATAATCTCAGATATTACCTACGTATATTAATTGATACAAATAACACAAAAATATTCATATATTATCAGTTTTTGTGTATTCCAGACTTCTGCATTACCTGTGATAGAACGAGAATCAGAAACTGCATTTCTAACGTCTAGCCAATACGAATTACTGGAAAATGGAGACTTCATTCGTGTTCCTATCTTGATTGGAACTAATTCTGAGGAAGATATTCATTATGGACAAGGTAAAAAACTAATTTAATTAAGATATATGTAGATGTTCAGCTGTGAAAGATGTTTATAATGAATTTTAGATTTGGAACAACTGGAAAAGTATTTGGAAGTCTATGAGAAAAACATTGAAAGATTTATACCAACAAATTTAATTTTATCTGATACTGTTAATAAGTCAACGGTGGGAAAAACAATTAGAGATTTATACTTAGAAAATATTCCTGATGATGAAAAATTGGGACATTTGATCAAGGTAATTAAATAGAATCATTTCTTGTAATTGATTTGAGTCGACATCATAATATATCAAAAATTATTATATATGTTCTAAAGATAATTTTTATTAAATGTAAATCTGTTTCAGTTTATGAGCCACAATACATTTACCAGAGCTATCATTAAGCATGCTAGTCTTGCAGCTAATTATACCCAAATTTTCTTTTATGTATTTTCATATGACGGACCATTAGGAAACGTAAATATTACTGTAAAAGGTTTGTATTTTATTTTATATTTTTAGTTGACACCTTTTTTAAAATTAGTCCTAATCTACTCAGGTATGAAATAACAGTAATATTTATTTTATTATAAAACTTTGATGGATTCTCCGCTCAGAGCAAACGCGACCTGTCATATGTAATTGTAATGGTGTCATCACAACTAGAGAGAAACTAATAACTAAAGTGAGAGGGCTTGTGGAATAGGGCATTTCGTAGACAAGTTTATTTTGTCACCGCGCATCCCAGACGCGCATAGCGTTTAGGCGGTCAAAAAAGGAAGTTTTCAACTTTGCAAGTTAAACATTTGACAGGATTAATTAGATTGTCAGTAGCTTTTTCTATTTCTTAGTTCTAGAAGGAGATAACTAAAATCTGTTGATAATCGGAGCAAATCGGAGTAATAAATTGTTTTTGACTGAATGTGCCTGTTCTTTTAGCTTGTCAAAAGAGAAGATTATTGTCATTATTGACTATTTCAGATTCCACGATTATTCGGCATTTTTGTAATTTTTGTTTTGTGGTTGAGAGCCAGACAAAATGTTTCTTTTAAAGGTAAGTTTTATCACGGTAATTATTTTAACATACCTAATAGTAATAGTGAGTGCACATAATAATCGTATATTGCTAATTTAATTTTTTTAATTTAAACATCACATTCTTTTCTGATACTTATGGAACGACTAGATATTATACCTGGTATTATTTCCAGTAATACAAATTATTTTCTTTAACTGCTAGGTTCTTGTTATAGAATAAAGACTATCAAAAACATTGAATACCTACGGGATACCTACTGATACTCTGTGCGAGCTCCCAACCGTGCTTCCCTGTTCACTCCCAACTAAGTTAGATCAAAAAGATACTGAAGATTGCAGCCTTGAGTTGAAGTATGGCAAGGAGTATGGAGTTAAATAAATTATTATGTTCCTACACAGTATTTTATTTATAGGTTTTAATGCTTTAAAGTCTAATAATAAATTTTCGTTGTCAACAAAATAATCTAAAAAAACTACGATGATTTCTTATTATAAATTTGAAAGATTAAGATTCGGTTCAAATATACAAATTTTAAATTTTTGGCGCCAGTATATAGGTACGAATGCAACCTACTATATCGATAATGCGCTTATATTTCGGGTTAGACGCCAAAGGCCGCGCCACTAACACAGTTTTCAAAAATTAACGTTGATCGGTCTCTCTCACTTATCACAACTAAAATTCAAATTTGAACAGAACCTTTTTTTTTATTTTAGAAAATAAAACGACCCCTTAACAGATTTATTCCAAGACTGCTCTGGAGTCATCAGCAGACTCACTTGCTGTCGAACCTCAGCCAGCCACATTTGTTTTTTTCTCTTTCCTTAAATTTCCATAATGACATTTTTTACATTTGATAAGTTTACTACACTATGTTGATCAAAAGTATACAAACCATTTTATTTTTGTTAGAGAAGAGGGGAAGCTATTTATCTGGAAATATGGGGTTCGATGCGATAATGCGAAATGTGGGGTTCGATGCGACAATGCGTTACTAGCCGCATAATACTCACTAAACCCCTCTCCTATTCTAGGTGTGGATATCGATCGCCGTGAGGCATACGGATGCATCCACTCCTACCTTTACTCATCACTCCGTCGACACTTAATCGCTCTAGTTCTTAAACTTAAGGATTGTCACACAATCGATTAGAAGAGAATTGCCTATTCAGGACAATTTACGTAGATCTATTACGTCTTGCGGCCACTACCTCGTCGACTTCAATAAGAATGTCGAGACACAGCTGGTCAACAGCCTTCCAGCAGTGCTCATCACGCAGCATAACCGTGATAAGGCTTCCCTCAGTCAGAGGTCCTGTGATGGCTTCCGTCTCAATTCTCAGTGCCGCATGTCGGTCGCATTCCAATAGTACGTGCCCGGCATCCTCTACATCGCCACAAGCTCCGCAGTGGGGAGAGGCAGCTTTTTCGATGCGATGCCTGTAGGCAGCAAACGTACCATGTTGCACCAAACTGCACCAAGTCTGTCTCCTATGGCCTCTCTGTAGCCATGGTCTCAGGTCTGGTATCCAGCGCCGAGTCCAGCAGCCCCGATCGCTGCTTTGCCATTTTCTATTCCACAGCTCCAGGAATTTTTCTTTTTCTGCCTTTATAACACCTTTTTCTAGCCCGTAAGATTCGCTCCTGTATCTAGCTTGTAGGTCTAGAAGCATTATCCCAGGGTAGTGCTTCTGTGGACACTGTCCTGTTCGCCCTGCTTACATACAGGAGCACTGTCCTCTGTGCCCGGTTTAGAGCGTCAACATTCTTTGCCAGCTTTAGAGCGGTTTCGGCCCATGCGGGTGCAGCGTACAGCACAGCAGACGCGTGTGCAGTTGCCAGCACCCTGCGTGCCCAATCACCGGCGCCACCATTGCGCGGCATGAGCCTTGTTAGAGCTTTTGCACTCTCCGCTGCGTTCTTTGCCTTTGTCTGGGTGTGGTAGACAAAGGTGCCATTTTTGTCTAGCCAGACGCCCAGGTCTCGTCCTTAATTGGAACTTGTACTTCCAGAATATTGACCTCCAAAATTCCTGCCAGTTTTGTTCTGCCGGTCAGTCTGCAAACACGGGTCTTATCAGGAGCTAGTTCTAGCCTTCTGCTTTCTATCCACTGCCTTATATTTTCGGCGGCTATCGTTGCAAATCTCTTGGCTTCATCCAGACCTTTACCTATAGACACAACGGCTAAGTCGTCCGCAAAGGCTATCGTGTAGACGCCACTGGGTTGATCGATGGCGAGGACCGGATTATACAGAATGTTGCACAAAAAAGGTCCTAAAACTGACCCCTGGAGGACTCCCATACTGACTATCTTACAGTAACCACTCCCAGTAAGCACCACCCGTTTGGAGAAATAACTCTTTATGATGTTGAGTAAATATTTCTGTATTCTCCTTCTTTTCAGCTTTTCTCTAGAAGAAGTATGCAAACGAAACCGTTAAGCATTTTTTTCTTTGTTAGGCAAATTTTTATTACTGTAAACACAACTTCTGACAAGCAGCGTCCGTTTAGGTTTAACGCCAGAAGTGTTTACAAAAAATAACTATTTTATTTTGTAGATTTTTCTTGCAGTGCAGTGGCGAAATACCCATAAAGGATTTTTTGGATAAACGAAACCAAACCAAACCAATAAACTTTTAGTCACGTGATTAAGCTTGATCGGCATAGCGTTGCTGACTTTTTCTTTTAAATATGCTTATCATTTCATTATCATTTTCATGAATGGCTTTTGTAGGTGCTGACAAAGTTGCTCACGGTGAAGAAACAAAATATCTATGGAAACAGGTTGGTTATAACGACGATTTATCTAAATTTCCTGCTTCTGATGTTTTGACTTACAACCGTTTGATATCTTTATGGACTAATTTCGTCAAATATTTGTATAAAGCATAATAATGGACATTACTTCAGTGAAACCCTTACAGCACTATTTTGTAGAACTCCTACTCCAGAAGAGGCAGAATTACTTCAAAACATAACCTGGCCACTATATGACAACGAAAATTATAAGTATTTAGATATTGGAAGAAATCTTGAAATAAATAAGAAACCCAAACGGCCATATTACGATGCTTGGAATCAGTATTATGAAGAATGGGCTAATGATTCGCTTATAACTTTTTGAAACATGCTAATTAAGATTAGTTTGATAATATATTCATTAATTAATAAAAATATACGTCATATAGTTCCGCTTTATATCTTCACATTCTTTCAATATCCAGCCAAAAATTTTACACATTCAGCAATATTTTTGTAAGAATAAATACATGTAAATGTATATTTTTGATATCACGTATGAAATGGGCATTGATACACCTAAGCGTTAACAGAGATATAAAATCATATATCACAAAATTTTGCTTAAAACGAATACAACATAGAGATATGTCGCTGGAAAAAAATATTGTATATATAACAATAATTAATAAGCCAGTACTACTTAAAATGTTCTTTATGTTTTATGAAATCAAAATGTTATTTAGAAACCACAAGTAACATACTAATAACTCAAGAAAGGGGAACACACCATAGATCTATAAGGTTGCTGTGATTAACTCCCCTTCCTAAACTTTCTACATTCTACGAGTGACATACTATAAGCCTTGGTTTGGTGCGTGGTGGGTAGATAGTGTTATTTTATATAATAATATATCTATATTGGGTGCTTGGTGGGTGAATAGTGCTATTTTAAAACTGAATAAATTGACCTCAGCAATTTACTATATGAGATTAGATGTTATGATGAGGTAGCATTGGTTTATTCCACTACGACATTATCAGACCCATTGGAGACTTATTCCTGTTATCTCTAGATTACATTTTTTAGCCTTATGTTTTTCAAGTATGTGATGTAGTATCTGAATTCAAGAATGAAGTGTAATATTTGAACTCTCCATATAGCAACTTATCATTGTGTAGTGCAAATTTCAAATTTTTCTGGCTATCGCACTCAAATAGATTGTTACATTGCATACATTGTTACATGGCTTTATCTGTCATCATATCAATAGGATACTAATGAGGCAGCAAGAGGATACTAGTAATAAAATTAACAATAATATTTCTCAAAGATAAACAAATTTCGTCGTTCTAAGAGTTAAAAAAATCAAGTTAAAATAGTTAGTACAGTACCATTGTGATAAAAAAAAGTAGTACAACAAAATATGATTTAATCTGCTGGTTTATAATAAAATAAAAAAAAAATTGAAAAATTGCCCATTTTTAAAAGGTAGGTAAATTTTTTATACTTTTATTTCGCCACGTATACCTACCAATTATTACCAAATTCATGGTAATGCGAGGGGTAAACCGCGAGACCAATGCGGTGTACAATCCCAAACCAATGCGGACCAATTGTGTGGACTAATGGTGCCGATTAAGTGACAATGCTAACAAATGGGGGAAATTGACCAATTTTGCAGAGCCAATGGAACCAATGAAGGGGAAATTGGCAAATTTTGCAAAGCCAATGAAGCCAATTAAGGAGAAATTAGGGACCAATTATGAACCAATTAAAGGCTAATGTAAAATTATTATATCGCTATCGAGTCCGCAAATCTAGCCGAGTCGACGATAGGGTTGCCAGATTGGACCCTTAAACGCCATTTAGGATATTTTTAATGATTAGTTGACGTTAGCACAAGAGAAATAATTATTTATTGAAGTTATTTACAGTGTACCAAATAATGGTTTACAGAATACCAAATAATGGTTTCCGTTAAAGACCTTAAACTCGTAAGGTCCGTTAGACATGAGCAAAAATTATGGCGAAAATCATTAGGTAGGTAATTATTTTAAAAATCTGGTCAATAAAATGTTTTGAGGTTGTTTTACTGAGTCTTAGTTGCGTTTTATATTTTAATTACAAAAATCCTGGAGAATATTTTGAAAGCGCAGCTAAGGACCTACCTCAAAAAAATCATATTTTATTAACAAAATATTCAAATTAATTTTGGAATACTTTTTGTTATTATTTTTGCCATAATTTTCGCTCCTGTAAAATAGCTGTAAGTTTAAAAAGAATTTGACGCTTTTGCAATTCACGTCGGTGTCAAAGGTTGGATAAAATCTGGCAACCGCGACCAGCACCGGCGTATTGTAAACGAATATAATTCGTACGACGCAGCCTTAGGACGCAGCACGTATTTTCACTGTTTTCTTGTATCCGTTTTGTTTTGGTTTTGCTTTTCTCTCGGTACAAAATGTTATGATGTGTAAGACGTGTATTAGACATTATTAGTAATACGGTAAGAACTCTTGTAGGTATTATTAAGTTCAAAATTTAATATCGATACCTACGGTATAAAATAATAGGTGACTTATGCCTAAGCTTATGCAAAGGGTTTGTCAATAAGTGTTCAAAATTTAACTTGTAGTGCATATGTTAGAAGATGCAGGACAAAAATGAAAATATCAGGACTCTCGTATTTAACTATAATACCTAATAGTAATAATAATAATATTCTATATAAAATTATTTTTGAACCAATTTTTTTTACAATTCGTTGACATTTACCCAGAGATATGAGATGGGAAGAGAATGTGCTAGACTGCACGAATAGTCCATATATATGAACGGGGGAGGAGAATGCGCAATGGGGAAATGGGGAAATGGGGAAATGGTGAAAATTCTGAAAGACCAATGTGCCAATTAAGAGCCAATTAAGAGCCAATGTCCAGTGTGGTGTACACAATTTTGGGTCGCGGTTTACCCCTCGTGGTAATGCCTAAAAAGTTAGGTGGCATAATTGTATTGTTCGATGATATCCACTTCTCGATATCCTTATAGACCAGGAGTTCTATCTGGGACTACTAATTCTTGTACTACCTTTTTTGATCGCAATGGCTGTGGCAATGGTATGTACATAGATACAATATAAAAATAATTTTTCTTCTTTCTAAAAAATAAAGTTGTTAGTCAAATATTCTTACCTGATAAGATTAAGATTTGGATAGTATTTTTTTTATTATTGATTATTATTCATTAAATTCAAAATTTTTAAATTTATCAATGATTCTATTGAAGTTGTTTACCACTTTTATAACTATTACCATTCTCAAGTGTACTTAAGTAATATAGTAGTAAGTATGAATAAACGTAAAGTGGCTTATTGTGCAGTATGTGAGAATAATCGTTATAATGAAGGTTTTCATGACTATATTTTGTATCGTAAAATGGACGGTAAGTAGGTATTTTACTATTTATAATACAAACATAAAAGAGTATAATTTTGACATCGCAAACTAACTATATAGTTGCATACAATGCTGTGTAAAAGATTTAACAATAATTTAAAGACTATAATTAATACATGAAAAATATCATGTAATTGTTTTCGGGCAAAAATATAGTGTACCAATGATTAAAGTGAGAAAATCAGATTAATTGAAAATAAAACATGTTTCTAGATTATAATATTGGGAGGGGCTTGAAAGAAATTTTACGACATCTCATCAAGAGGGCAGAGGGTCAAAAAATCCTAAAAAAACACACGTAATTAATAGATGCAGTGGCGTAACTACCGGTGTGCAAACGTGTTCGATGGAACACGGGTCCGAGCCCATAGGAGGGCTCGCGAAGGGCCAGCTACAAGCCCTACAAATTCAAATTGTACAACTTGTGTACTGTAAAATACAAACTACAACCAAAGAGTAGATATTTACTACAGCTACATATACGAGTATGTCAATTTTGTCGTTATTATAATTGTTCAACATTACTAATTGGCTTATGAAACTTTATTTTTGTTGTATGTATTGCTGCTCAAAATCTTAATTTGGTCCAAAATGGACCGAAATAGCAGTAAATGTCTTTGCTTTATGGAATAAATTTATGTAAATTTTGTTCAGAGTACGAGTAGATGAGGGATACTTGAGGAGAGATGTCCATTTCTGTAATATTTAAATTTATTTAAACAAATGTTGGATTGCAGTGTGATAAAAAATTGTCAGTGATGCCCTTGTTTCTGAAGTTGGACAACTAAAATTTGGTAGAAGAATTTTATAGAGATAGAGAAAAAGACCTATATAAATATATTTTAGTTAGATGCTACAGGGTGTTCAAAATATATTTATGAATTTCAACTACTTTAAATTAAGAAATTTCAATTTTTTTAAAGGGTACGCCCTATATATTTTTATCTGATAGATTTTACAAAACTCTTCAACTTTTATTAAGTATGTCATATACCTATTTTTAATAGTTTGAGATTTATTCGAATTTTTTCAATTTTTACCCATATTTTTAATACAACTACGCTATAACATCATGGTTACCATGACAAAAAGAAGTAATAATTATCAAAATTTCATGTTTGTTAAGCAAGTTAAGAACATAATTTGAATTTTAGTTTAACTTGTAATAAGTATAAATGGTATAAATAATAGTTACAGATTTTCCTTAAATGAATTAGTCAATGTGACTGATATAAATGAAAAAGCCAAGAAAAACATATTTTTTGGTTCAGTACTATATATTATATAGTATTTTGCTAAGTAACTATAAGAACAGATTTAGATTATCTAGAAAACATATTCAGTGTGTAATGGGACGGTTTCGCGGCAGTAGTATAGTATTGGCTTTACGAAATGAATTCTTAACCAGAATTGCTTTACGAATTGCTAATGTAACTAAAAAAAATAATGTATGTTGAAGAAAATTCCTATATCAGTAGTCTTCAACATTTAGGTAATCTAGTATTACCCTAATCTATTCCCGATGGAAAATCTCCCCCCCCCCCTCAAGTGTCATCTTTCATAATATAGAAATACACCAAGAAATTCAGAAATGCGATTTTAGTTTATTTGAGTAAAGTTAATTAATTTTAACTAATACCAGCAACTGTAACTAATTATTAAGCTACTTGTTAAAGATAAGTAATAAATAGTTTTGTTTTGTCATGGTAACTATGATTTTATAGCGTAATTGTAATAAAAATATGGGTAAAAATAGAAAAAATTCGAATAAATCGCAAACTATTAAAAATAGGTATATGACATACTTAATAAAAGTTGAAGATTTTTTTAAAATCTATCAGGAAAAATCCCACAAAAAGTCCCATTTAAAAAATTTGAGGTTTTTTAATTTTAAGTAGTTGAAATTCATAAATATATTTTGAACACCCTGTATTATTTAACTATAATATCTTTACATATATCTTTTTTGTCATCTCTATAAAATTCTCCTACCAAATTTTGGCTCTCCAACTTCAGAAACAATGGCACCACTGACAATTTTTTACCACACTGCAATTTAACATTCGTTTAAACAAATTGAAATATTGCAAAAACTATTAATTTTAGGTATATAACATTATATATAAAAAAAATATGGAATTTTACGCAAAATCTAAAAATTAAATAAAAAATAGGATATTGCATTTAAAAAAACATATGTTATATTTGCCACACTTTTTTGAAGCACCTTGTATACTCTACAATAATTTTAAAATGTGTACCTTAACCTTCCCTATAACTTTTATATTTAATATTTTTTTGTAAACCTCGAAACAAATGAGATAATGGACTTTACTCTATCGTTGACTCACCCTGTACAAGTAAAAAAACATATGATGTATTTTAAAGGTTGCAGCCGATCTACAGATAACTCTTCCCTATGGCACTATTGAAGGGTATGAACTTACCAGTCCTGGAAACGCAACATTTCGAGCTTTCCAAGGTATCCCCTATGCCGCAACTCCCGTGGGAACTTTAAGATTTCAGGTATAAAAAATATTTTAATATCTTATTGTTTCTTTTAGTCACGTACTAAAATAATGGTTGTGTCATTTTTTAGATACCACAGCATTAGAATTTTATTTATAAATTATTCTGTTACCTTTTTCTTGTTACGTTGTTAAATAATGATTGTGTCATTTTTTTAGGCACCACAAGCTCCAGCGTCTTGGGATGGGGTGAAGGAAACTGTCAAAGATTCGCATATCTGTTTTTCGGTGAAAAATGACAGCGATGAGGAAAACGAGGACTGTTTGTATATTAATGTTTTTACACCAATACTATATAATGTAAGCATTTTTTATTCAATTAACATTTACATTAATCATATATATGTCACTTTTGTTTACTACATTTGTTATTGCATTTCTCCTACATCTTTGAAAAAAAAGTCACAAACTGCTGTATTATTGAAAAAAACAGCGTTACTGTATATATTTGAACGTAAATGTCTTGATTGAAACTTTCTTATAGTTATACAGGAAATGTCTTAAACAAATGCATTGTAGATTTAATCTACTACATATGTCGCCATAGGTACTATCAAAATTATGTTTACAATATAAAAATTAAAAACAATTTCAACTTTTCTCCAAAAAATCCTCACAGAAAATATTAAAAATATCGATTTTTATTTCTGCCGCTTTATGAATTAAAATGAATTATAAATTTGATAATAAATATTAATTACTTAAAATTAAGTTCTAAGACAAGCATTTCCACAGACCTAATTATGTAAAAGTTAATTATTGGTATTTGTGACCTAATTATTTTTCAATATGCGTATTATTTGAGGTCCTAGAGCTAGAACCTATATATTGGATATTAAAAAATAAATAATATGCCCATTTTGAATCTTTGAATATACTCTGTATGTTTAATAAGTTCCTTCGCCATTTAGTCAGAGAACTATAAAAGTTTAATCACTAATGCATTATTAGTTTGTTTATAACCATCCTGAATAAATATGTACTAGAAAAAAAAATGTATGTCATAAAATATCTTCGTAAATACTCCTATCGTTTTTATTAAATAAATATAATTTGAATTTTATTTAATAAAATGCGGAAATAGATAACTAGTCTATCTAAAGTATCTGATTATTAAATAATTAATTTGTTCCCAAAACAAACATTTTATATATAATTGTTGTTTATATTTAAATATTTAAATCAAAATTACTGAAAAAAATACTAAAAATTCCTAATCAATTTTCTCTTCTATAAAATTATTTTCGCCATTTTGTCAAGAATAGATAATATCTCGAATAGAGAAATAGGACTTCTGTATTCATTTATATACCATAAAGAACTAAAATACGTACCCACGTTTCTGATAAAATCAAAAATATATTACTTGTGCATCTCTCTTATATACCGGGTGTGTCTCAAAAGTGAAAACCCCTTCTAACTTTTTTATTTTTTTCAGATAAAAAAGCGAGATTTGGTAAGATTGATTGACCTATCGTTTTTTGACGATTGTTTTTGGTCACTTCCTGTTTCACCGGAAATGACTACAACCTTTGATTTTTAAATGGTACCCTTGGTATATTTCTTCTTTATTCGATGGAAAATGATGCCCTGAATGGAATTACATATCCTATGTCAACTTTTGACATTTTAACATAATTTTTTTTTAAATTGTTTGATTTTTTTTTTGAAATTGGTTTATTTGAAATTGTAACAATGAGAATTTGACTCGAAACACCAGGCGTGTGGTACCAAATTATTGAAAAAATATGCTTTTTCCAAATATGCTAATGAGCCACCCTTGTTCCATTTGAAAAAATTGAAATATGATTAAAAATTCGACTTGTGCATCTTTTAGCCGACCAGGACAAGACAGGAAAAACATTAGACGATCAAAACTATTTTTCCAAAGCTCCTTGATAAAAATTAGTGTTTTTAACATAACCACGGTACTCTAGATTGAAATTTAAAATACGATTTGTTTTTAAGCGAAAATGTCAAAAGTTGACATAATATAATATGTCATTCTATTCAGAGTGTCATTTTCTATCGAATAAAGTACAAATATTCCGAGGGTGCCCTTTAAAAATCAAAAGTTGTAGTCATTTCCGGTGAAACAGGAAGTGACCAAAAACAATTGAATACGTCAATCAATCCTAATTTATGTCATAGACTAACATAAGGAATCTCGTTTATTATTTGAACAATTAAAAAAGTTATAGGGGTGGGCCACTTTCGAGACCCACACGGTATATTATTATTTTTATTATTACATTTTAATTTTTTCCTTCCTCAACTTCATAATACCGGGTGTGTCTCAAAAGTGGCTCACCATAACTTTATTTTTTTCAGATAAAAAACGATATTTGGTATGTTAGTACATGACATAAATTAGGATTGATTGACGTATTCAGTTCTTCTCTGCCACTTCCTGTTTCACCGGAAATGACTACAACTTTTGATTTTTAAATGGCATCCTCGGTATTTTTTTACTTTATTCGACAGAAAATCATTCTGAATAGAATGACATATCATATGTCAACTTTTGACATTTTCGCTTAAAACAAAATTGTATTTTAAATTTCAATCTAGAGTGACATGGCTCTGTTAAAAACACTAATTTTCAATAAAGGAGCCTTGGAAAAATAAATTTAACCGTCTAATGTTTTTAGTGTCTTGTCCTGGCCCGTTAAAAGATGCCCAAATCGTATTTTTAATCAAATCTCAATTTTCTCAAATGGAACGAGGGTGGCTCATTAGCATATTTGGAAAAAGCATTTTTTTACGAATAATTTGATACCACACACTTGGTGTTGCAAGTCAAATTGTCGTCATGAATCGCGTGTTGCAATTTCAAATAAACCATATATGTGAAAATGTGTGAATACGATATGTCATTCTATTCAGAGTGTCATTTTCTATCGAATAAAGTAACAAAATACCTAGGGTGCCATTTAAAAATCAAAAGTTGTAGTAATTTCCGGTGAAACCGGAAGTGACCGAAAACAATTGAATACGTCAATCAATCCTAATTTATGTCATATACTAACATACCAAACCTCGATTTTTTATCTTATAAAATAAAGAAGTTATAGGTGTAAGCCAATTTTTTGACGCACCCGGTATATAATAAGTAGTATATAATAAAGTAAGTTCCTATTGTGATACTAAAAATATTCTACACTAAACTGTATTGCCCATATCCTTGGACATAGGTAGTTTATTTTAATATATTTTTTCGCTATAAAAATTACCGAGATCCAACTTTCAAATAAAAAAATGAAGAGTCCAAAATAAAATTAGCCATCCCATTTGAAAATTCTTATAACAAAAAAAAAATATTATTTAAAATTAATCCAGTCCATTTAAAATTATGTATCTAATTAATTCACTATGATATATTAAGTGAACGAAAAACAGACAAGAAAGAGACATATAACGTAATTACATACATAAAACCTCAAACAGTCCTTACAGGATATATGATTTTTTTATGAATGATTTTATAACCCTAGATAACCGTATAAAGCTCGTATTATCCATTTTATGAGCTTGTAGTCGAAATATTTGATGGATTTTTTTCAGAGCAACGACACAAAGTTGGCCGTGATGGTATGGATATACGGGGGAGCTTACAGGACAGGATCGTCGAAATATGATAATTTTGGACCTGATTTTCTGATAGAAAAAGATGTGGTTGTTGTCACCTTTAACTACAGATTAGGTTAGTGGTTTCCTATGAATACTTATATACTTATATATACATCAGAGTCCACATGCTATGGCATTTTTATCATTAATTGGGTTAGTTTTTGGGTTAAGTTTTCCAGAAAAATTTCTTGTGAAATCTAGACAAAATCCTTCAAAATATAAATTATGAATTTGACCCATGGCTGGGAAACTTAAATGGAAATGACAGTTCATTAAAAATAGTTTTTCCTCCAAGATGCAGAGGCGCAAATTATTAAAATTGTCAATATTAACAATGCAAATGTCAATATCTGACAATAATAAAATTTGATTTTTAACTGTCACTCAGAGACGCTTTTGTTGTGATTTTACGGTTTGATTTGTCGAATTATTGTAAAATTAAATTCCTTCAGATTTTTTGCCAGTATTCTGTTTTAGACAATGTTTTTTAAAAATGGTGGGACAATTTGTGTTTTGTAATAACTCTTAATTATTTTTTATCATGGAGTTTAATTGTTGTACACCTGGTTTCCGAAGGATACAATGGTAAGTAAATTAAACATATCTACTTACAGTTATAGATTTTTTAAATTAGTACTGCTAATAAATGCTACTTGCAGAGCAGTTATTTAATTTTTTTACGGTGCATGTAAGGAATTAAGGACGCGCGTTTTTTTTTATGATCAGCAGATAATTACATCTGATTTAATTTGTTTTGATTATTTCAGGTCCCAAACGGAAACAAACTGGGAATCTTGCCTACACCAAAATTATATACCTAGCCGTTTCCAATTCACTTCAAAGGGAGGAAAATTATGTAAAACTGCCTGCTATTTGCTGAAAACCACCAAAGATTAAATTATAACTGTAACAACTTAATATATACTATTTCTAGTATTTTTAATATATTTTTTAATTAATATCCGACATATAAGAACACTTTGTATGCTTTTAATTCAGTTGATTTATCGTGTATAATATGTTCGACCTAATTAAAAGCACACAAAGTGTTCTTACATGTATGTCTAAATTTATTTTTAATTAACTAAAACAACCCCCCTTCCCCGCACTCCTCTCTTCCATTAGTATTTCTTCCTCCGTCTACCAGAGGCGCCCTTGTATAATAAAATTGAAATGTATTATAAGTTGCCTATCTATTTAATAGTATAAGTCTTTTATCTATGATTTGACCAAAGAATTTGACCTGATTATGAACTTATACCTGACAGTGACATCTGCTGACCGAGTACCTTAATCCGGGCATACAGAAACACTAGTTTAGTTAAAATTTACCTTCAGAGCGTTAATTTGTCCTATGAATGATTAATAAAAAAGATTATTACGTTTCACAAAATAAAAAAGATGATTACGATTTCTTCTTAAATTAATCCGTTCTAGGCAGTACGTTTTTGAATTTATTTTTATTGTCTAAAGTTTTAAATTCAAGGTCCATTTGGATTTTTGGCCACAGAAGATGGTCTGGTATCAGGGAATGCTGGCCTAAAAGATCAAGCATTTGCACTTCAGTGGGTTCATGACAACATAAACTTATTTGGAGGTGATTCAGAAAAGTTGTTATTTTTGGTCAAAGTGCTGGAGGATCTTCAGTAGGATACCAGTTACTGTACAAGAAAAACGAAGGTAATTTTTAGTATTATTTTCCATTCTCATACAGTAATTCAACTCATATACATGTTGGAGGCAGATGCCGAATTTCGGCCAATGTCCAAAATAATTAGACATATGGCGATTTGTCCATTCTAAATTTGCCAGGGGGTTAATCTTTTTTTAATATAATATAATAACAAAAGATTAACACCCTCTGTATAGAAGTTGAAATCAATGCAATCAAAACTCTTCCGCGTAACTTTGTGGATATAGGTAGGTATATTTAATTACAATCGCCATATGTCTAATTTTCGGCATCTGCCACCAACATAAACATATATTAAAAAATTTTGCTTCGCACAAAAAAAATCACTCTATTTTAATGTGATAGAATTTTTCGAGGAAAATAATTGTTTATCTGCTTGCTTGTCAATATTTATCAATGTAAATCATATGTGTAGTAAAAAATGTTTACTCCAAGGATATCCGATTCAGCCTTTTCAGTGTGATTATGGCAAAGCCAGTCAAATTTCAAGATTTAGAGTGTGAAAATGAATCGTCTTGTCATAATAAGTGAGACTGACAATGCAAGAATAGTAACTATGCTTGAAGAAGGTCATTCTCTCTCAAAGATTTGTGGCTGACCAATTCACTGAGTGATTACCAATTTTTCAATAAAATTGTGAATTAATTAGTCTGTAGTCTAGTCTTGACAAAAGAAAGTTTATTTTTGAATATTCAGGGTGATACAAAACTTTTGAATTTATGTATATTATCTTTATGCTTATACAGGTAATAATTCAACTTATACTGGGTGCGTCTCAAAAGTGGCTCACCCCTATAACTTTTCTTACATTTTTAGATAAAAAAAACGAGATTTGGTATGTTAATATATGAAATAAATTAGGATTGATTGTCGTATTCAAACGTTATTATCTCGAGTGCTAAAGAAACAAATTTTAATCTAGAGTGCTAAGACTGTGTTAAAAACACTAATTTTTAATTAAGGAACCATGGAAAAATAGATTTCATCGTCTAATGTTTAAGATGTAAAAGATGCTCAAATCCTATTTTTAAGCATATCTTAATTTTTTTCAAATGGAAGAAGGGTGGCTCATTAGCATATTTGGAAAAAGCATTTTTTACGAATAATTTGGTACTATACACTTGGTATCTCGAGTCAAATTGTCGTTATAAACCGCATGTTAAATGAAGCATATGCGAAAATGTCAAAAGTTGTAATAATTTCCGTCGAAACAGAAAGTGATCAAAAACAACCGAATACGTCAATCAATTGTAATTTATGTCATGTACTAACATACAAAATTTCGGTTTTTTATCAAAAAAATAAAACCACTTTTGAGACACAACCGGTAGAGTTGTCAAACTTATACAACTTATTTCTTGTGACTATAAAAAGTCTAATGTTTTTAGTCCCGTATTTGATTAACTAATATAATTAGTTTGTCTATATTTTAACATTAATAGTTAGTAGATGTTTTGTTAGTAAAAAAGACTAAAGCATCATTCAGAACCCCGTAATTATTGGAATAAATTAGTGGTTTCAATTAGCGTAGACGTCATTGTTATTACGTTTGTTCCTTTAATTTCAATGTAAGCATTTAGAACGTCAAAATTAACTAACTTTTAACTTTTCCACTTATTATACTTCCAAATTTGTCAGGAATATCATTTTGGCCTATGATTACATCAGCCGTCAAGAGAAATTTTGGTTAGAAGTCAAAAGTTGATTGTTTTATAAGCTAAATATTAAGCTTTTTCTATGGAACAAACTGACTACCGCAAGCTGTTGCTAGGATATTCTATTAATCTTAATTGTGTTTTTTAGATATTGTGAATGATCGTACATTAAAAAGTGTAAAGTGTAATTGAAACCACTAATTTATTCCACTAAGTGCGATGTTCTGAATGAAACTAAAATTATCATAATATTATTTTACTTAAGGTTTATTTAGAGGAGGTATTTTGCAAAGTGGCAGTCCTTTAAGTATATTCAGCTACATGCAAGATATTAGCGCAAGGGCTTATGCATTTGATTTAGCATCTCAAATCAACAATACTATCGAATTCCAAAATGACACCACAATTTTACTGGAGTTTTTACTAGGAGTTACTGGACGACAAATTGATACCGCCTCAACTAAAACTACAGTTACTGTAAGTTACACTTCTTTAATTAAAAAAAAACCCTGGACAAACTACAAACACATCAAATATTCTAAAAAAAACTAATGACAATAAATGTCACATAGTCGTCAATGCTTTTTTAATATTGCTTATTTTATTTATGTAATATCATATTCAATATACGTATCAATTATTGATAATTTTGTTATTTGATAAAAGTAATATTTATATATGACCCAGTTGTATTTGACTTACAAAGCTTTACAAAAGCTTGAGGTTGTTTTGTTACTTTATTGTTTTCATTATTCAATTTATTTTCTATACATTTAAAAAGACAAAAGTTACAATAACTCAATATGGTATTTTAACAAAATTTAATACTGAAAACGTATTTCTTTTATTCTTTGGTTAAAATGCTCACCGGAAGACAATAGATTTAATAATTGTGGATGAAAGGAGAAAGGTTTTAAATTTAAACTTCTTAATACCAAAAACAAAAACAATTTTCTAAAAAAGTAAACCGTAAAACATACAAGTTTAATAATGCTTACTTAATAAAGTTTTGTTATCTTTTCAAGTAAAAATAAATTGATCTTGTTACTGACAAGTTGAGATAAATATACCGCGTGGTGGCATGAACATGGAACATTGGAAACCCCATGTAAATTTTGAAAAAGTGAAATATTATTTCCTCAGATGATTTTATAAAAAAGTTGTATTAGACTTTTTTGAAAAGGGGTTAATGTTGTATTATTGTCTAGAGCTCGGTATAGATTTGGAACAGGTATTTGAATGTTATTTGCAGAAAGCTACCTTGAAATTACTAAAAATTTATAATGCGGCCCCTAGAAAGCTACACGATAACATACCAGAAAAAATATGATTTTGTTATTGGCAAATTCGATTTCACATTGGAAAATTGGAAAGGATGATTATTTTTTTTCTGAATTAGAATGATTATCTGCCAAAGAATTAGTTGCACTGATAATACACTCAGATGCAAAAAAACGCAATCGAGAAATTTTTGGTCAATTATAAAATACTATATTTCTTTTATTGTTAGCCCTATTTTCACGAATTTTTTAGCAACCTGTACATAATTATATCAACTTGAATTCCTAAATTAAGGTTTTTATAAACTTTAGTATTTGGCATATTATACAGGGTTAATCGAGGGGTTGTTTCTTTACCCTAACTGTAAAACACCCTGTGCAATAATTTCGTGTGTGAATTTTCCTAAAATATAGTTTTACAGTCAGAACCATGACTCCTGAGCATTTTGTTTCTTGATTCATGTCAATACATGCTTTGCTTAATTTTTAAGAGCGAAATGAACTGATTACGATTAATTTGCAATTTTTTCAATTATCATTACTTTTTGATGTAATTTTTTAATATAACGAGATGGTTTTCGTGACTATTGTCATAAAGTCATATTACGCTGCATTGGATACTGTATACTAAATTAAAAATAAACGTTAAGTACTAAAGATACAGTACTGGTTTTAGTAAACATTAATAACGATAACAGAACTAACGATCAATGTAATAATCAAGTGTATAGAAACAGAAAAAAAAGTAACAAATATCCTAATACATTGTATTGGCTCTCTTGGCTGTTATAACTGCCTGTATACGTCCGTTCATACTGCCATTGAGGCGGTATATATCATATTGCTATATGTTTTCTCATTCTTCTTTAAAGACCAAGCGAAGTTCATTTTAAGCGCTTCGCGACCTCTAACCCTCATGCCGAGCATTTCCCAAACGTCGAACATGATTAACAGTTCATACTGACACAATATCTCGAAAGCCGTCGTCATATTGAAAAACAATTTCAAAAAGAAATGATAATTGAACAAATTGCAAATTATTAATGGCGAGCTCATTTCGCCATTAAAAAGTAACCAAGGCATGTATTGACATGATCCAAAAAAACAAAATGTTCAGGAGACATGGTTCTGACCGTAAAATTATATTTTAGGAAAATTTACAACGAAAATATTGCACAGGGTGTTTTAAAGTTAGGGTAAAAAAACAACCCCTCGATTAACCCTGTATAATATGCTAAATACTAATTTTTATAAAAAAACTGAGTTTACGAATTAAAGTTGATGTAATTATATACAGCTTGCTAAAAAATCATGAAAATAGGGCTAAAAATAATAAAAATATAACATTTTAAATTTAACCAAGAATTTCTCCGTTGCGTTTTTTTTGCATCTGAGTGTAGTATTCGAGGTGTATGACTTGTTTACTGTTTATTGCTCGATTACTCTGGAGCCTCGCTCATACCACTTACATCCACAATAATTTACTGAATAATCCAAATATTTGTAACTAAAGAAACTTTATCAAACAAATATTCTAATTAATAAAATGTTCACATAATCATCCATTCACAGCCAAACAATACAGGAAATGATTGTAAATTTCACGCCTCAAAATACAAAACTGTTAACGGGAGAATATTTAACGTTCCACCAAAATGACATTTTCAGTTCGTCTAAATTTCTGTATTTAATATGCCCATAAAGACGGTTTTTGAAAGTGCTTTACAGGCAGAAGCCGTTGGCGAAAGATTCTGTGGTATTTTCCTACTGTATCTCCAATAAACTAGAGTCATTGTTTTTCTTTTCTTAACACTGAACCAAAAGTCGGCATAAATATAATGAAAAAGTTCATTAATATAATGGATTAAATCATTAATTTTGAGCCGATGAACGATTTCATTGGCACAATGAAAAGTAATTCATTAACTCTATCAACTTTAAGTTCATTAAATCAATGAACAGTGTTCATTAATTTGAAGAACACATTCATTGGTACAATGAACAGATTTCATTAATATAATGTACCTAAATCCTTATATTAATGAACCGTTATCATTAATACAATGAATACTTATGTGGATGTTGGTGAATCCATTACACCCACAATTTTTCTCAATCCTGTTAATTTATAGGAAATTTTTAACATTCTAATGAATCTTCCAAACAAGCATTCCGCAGGTCTGGATGATATTCCGGTATTTCTGTTAAAACGCATTGCCTCCTTCATATGTACACCTCTTGCAATACTCATAAATGTATCCTTCTCATCTGGGGTTTTTCCTTCAGCCTTGAAGGTTGCTAAATTTATCCCGATCCTTAAAGGGGGTAATGCTTGTCTCATGAACAATTACCGTCCAGTGTCACTTCTGTCATCTTTTTCAAAAGTGTTTGAGAGGGCTCTTTCTGATAGACTTGCATCTTTTTTGGATCGAAATAGTATATTATCCGATACTCAATATGGGTTTAGGCCAAAAAAGTCATGCCACCTGGCAATATATAATGTGCTGAATTTTATTATTGAAAGGGTCGACAGAGGTGAGAAGGTAGCAGGTATATTCTTTGATTTATCCAAGGCTTTCGACACCTTGAATCATGGCGTCCTGTTAAATAAGTTGAATATATATGGAATAAGGGGAGTTGCCGCGCGGTTGCTCGAATCGTATTTATCTGATCGTCAACAACTAATTTGTGTCACTCATGAAAAGTTAAAATACTTCTCTCAGTCCGTCACAGTAAGCCAGGGAGTTCCACAGGGCTCTATATTGGGACCGCTTTTGTTCCTACTGTATGTGAATGATCTTCATGGGGAGTTTGTTTCGGGGCTGGTTTGCAAGTATGAAGACGACACCTCTCTGGTGTTGACAGACCAAGTTTTGCGGGGGCTCTCTGGGGCTTTTTCGCAGACAGTGGGGGCGATGCGGGAGTGGTGTGGGAAAAATAGCCTACAATTGAACACTTCCAAGACCGGACTTCTTACTTTTGGTAAAACCAGAGATAACGAGTCCTTGTATGTCAGCTGTGATAACAAGTCTATACCACTGGCCAATTATGTAAAGTTTCTCGGTGTCTACATTGATCCTACGCTTCACTGGACAAAACACATAGATATTTTGACTTCTAAATTAAACAGTAACTGCGCGATAATACGAAGATTAAGGGACCAATTGTCTCTGGACACCATTCGAACTCTTTACATCGCCACTTCACAATCCTTAATTATGTATAGCATTATGTTTTGGGGATCTTCGGCTCTAGCAGAGCAGATCTTCAGGGCCCAAAAGAGAATGATCAGGTGTATGTTCGGCTTGTATCCGAGGACATCTTGTAGGCCATATTTTGCAAAAATTCATGTCCTGACTGTGCCCTCTTTATATTTTCTGTCCCTGGTGATGTTCGTTAAAAAGCATTCCGCCCTTTTTGCTACAAACTCGAGTCACTATGGTCCAGATATGGAACGGATTACCAGGGGGCGGGATGATTTAAGCATACCTCTGCATAGCTCGTCTTTTTTTCGGAGGGGCCCAGGCTACAGGGCGGTCAAGGCCTTTGAAATGCTCCCAGCAAATATTAGGGCTGTAGGTAGCGATTACCACTTTTTGGAATTTTTACACACACGCGGTTTTTATAGCTTTAACTTTGAATTTTAATTATGTCCTTTGTCTGAATATTGTTGAATTTTTATTATTGTTATATTTGTGTATTTATTACTATGTTTTAATGTTCTAAGATAATATACTCTGTAATGGGATAATATACTCTGTTCTGTGACGTTGCTTTGTGATCGGGAAGATCATTTTGTCGGCAATAAAGTATTTGTATTTGTATTTGTATAAATAATTTCATAACCTATTTAGTTATACATTTAAAAGTCGACACTATTAGTAACTCTTGTTACACCGTATAATCGATGATGAAGATCGCTGTCATTGATATGAAATGTCACTGATAGTCATTTCCCAGACAACCAAGCCTGAAATAATTCTACTATAAATAGATTTCCATTTGAACAAGCCCTTAGCTACAAAGGTAACAAAATTACTAATAGTGCCGACTTACTTACGAACACAGTAAATTTTTCCATTAGGGATTATTAATAAAAAACAAGTGCAATAAACTAATAATAATTTATTAAACTCGATATAGCATACACAAATTAAAAATTAAAAAAATCGAATCGACGAAGCGAATAGTAATGTTATTATTAATTTTAGGGTAAATTATAATAAGAAAATTAATTTACCAGTCGATATCCTGAGGGATTTCTATAAAAAGACCACTTCTTCATTATATTAGCTGTATCCTTAGACTTGATAACGTCTAGACGAATTTGCAACAGGCTTTCCAAGTCGCATCAAGTGGGTCCGATGTTAAATTGTCGAATTTGAGGGCTTGAAGGCCAGGTCTCAATATCTTCTTCCGGTTCTAAAAGACGTATATCAAAATAATTAAAACGCCAAATATTAAAAGAACATTCGAATTTACCATAATCAGTTCCATGCCTCGACTTGTTACTATGTTTTTCTTCTTTTTGTTTTTTATCTTCTGAAACATATTTGGAAACCGCTGTTTTAATGAATACCCACACCAGAGATCTCACACACTGGAATTTGATTTGACAACACAACAAATTAACTACAATATGATGGACACTTTTATTTAAAATATTTAAAATGTCCCAATGAAACAACAGTTAATAATCAATGTTCATTAATATATTATAATATATTAAAAATAACTATTATATAATTAATTATGGGTTCATTAATACGTACAATATTTTTTTCAGTGCAGCAAGAAGAAGAATATTCAAGTCATTGTTGATTTCTTCCTGTTCATTATTTTGTTCTTCACACTTCCAGGTGTTTAATAACGTGTCTTTAGTTTCAAACCCGTGGTTTATTCTTTAAATTGTTGACTTATTCGGTATAGGTCTGTCTGCGAACATATCTAACACAATGGGGATACTATTTCCAGCAAAATGCCGTTTATAACTAATGCCATCGTAACTTTTTCAGTTGTGAATTTCATAATTATATTATTTTATAAAAAATTACTCTATTTGGTTGCTTCAAATTTTTGTAAACAAATTGTGACATCAAACTTGGCAATTTTGCTGGTTTTTAATTGTAGCTTTCTTTGGGCCTTATTATAAATTTTACTAATTTAAAGGTAGATTTTTGGAAATATTTTTTAAATGCTGATTCCAAATAAAACAAAATTCTAGACAAAAGTACAACTTTAATGTCTGTTCAAAGAAGTCTAATACGACTTTTGCTTAAAAATATCTGGGGAGATAATAAATAGCCTTTTCAAAATGTTTTTTGTTCCGATGCACCACACGGTATATAATATTTATAGCAACTAAGTAAAGAAAAGACGATACAGGTACTTAGAGAAAGAAAAGAAAATTAGCCGAACTGATATTTGGCCGAAAAAAATCACCGAATTACAATTTACAGAAATCAAAATTCGATTTTTGGTAAAAGATTGCCCTAATACAGGGAATTTAAACGATCCATTTGATAAAAACCAAACCAAACCAAATAAAGAGCATAAGTCATTGCCTTTCACCTTTGCCATTTTTGTTACAAATAACTGCTGAGTAACAGTTTTTGTTTTTCCTGTCCACATATTGCAAATTCGGCTGCAATACTCGGATGACGATAAGCACAATCAATACAGTTTAACAGAAATTTGCAGGGATGACAATGACAATGAGCTGACAATTATTACTTTTTTCGAGCGACTTTCCGGTCGGGTAAAATGTTCTTAGGGGTATTTATGTATTCGGGCTATTTTTCATTTGGGCAATCGGAGCTTTGGTGGTTTGCCCTTGTTCAATTTTCCTTCGGCCATTTATTTCCCGGAAATTTTCCGGATGCACAATTTTTTTTCTTATTTTCTTTTACTAGATACCAAAATTAAATGTATTAAAAAAAATGTATAAAAAAGTTCGTATAAATGTATGTCCTAAAATGCTTAGTTTCGGAGATACAGGGTGTAGAAATTTCATTTGTATTTCGATTTTTTCCAAATAATTTGTGAAGTAACGTCAATATTTAGATAAAAATTGGTGTCTGGGAGTTTTTGACACGAGAAATTTGATTTTGATGTGAATATGACTTCTACTGGTAGAGGGCGCCACCTACATGTATTTTAACTCTTTTGAAACGTAATAACTTTTTGTCCGTACCTGTATAAAACTACCGAGAGAAAAAATATACATCTCTGTAATTTTTGACGTAAAAAATATCTCTTTGTAAAAATGGCTACGAGCAACCGTTCTCAAGATATTTAGAATGGAAATAGTCTCAATACATACCATTATTAACGAAAAATAAACACGTTGAGTAGATAGATATTTCACTGAAATAATAAATTTGGGAAATTTTTAATTTTTTAAATTAATCATATTTTTTCTGCAAAAAAATGATAAAACAGTTTTTATTGAAATTTTAGTACAAAAACATTTCAAATTTATGATCCAAATATCTCGAAAACCATTACTCGTAGCGATTTTTACAAACAAACCTTTTTTACGTAAAAAGCGTCGTAAATGTATATTTTTTTACTCAGTAGTTTTATACAGGTACGGACGAAAAGTTATTACTCTTCAAACCAGTTAAAAATATGTAGGTGGCGCCCTCTACTAGTAATAGTCATATTGACGTCAAAATCAAATTTCTCATGTTAAAAACCTCCCAGACACCAATTTTAATCCAAATATTGACGTTACTGTAGAAATTATTTTGAAAAAATCGAAATAAAAATGAAACTTCTACACCCTGTATCTCCGAAACTAAGCATTTTTGGACATCTATACGAACACTTTGACTTATTTTTATCCGCATCAGAATATGCTGCCAAAGTTTCCGGAATACAGTTCGGACCACCCTGTATATTTCAAGATATCCTTTATTATTTTTATTAAATATCTATCAGACGACATAAATGCAACCAGGTTTTAACATTTTTAGAAAATACCTCTTCCCGTTATTGAAGAAGATCATGATGGAGCCATTATTACCAAAGAATCTTTTGAGTTGCTTGCAGCAGGAGAATTCTTGAAAATTCCGATTATGATTGGAAGTACTTCTGAAGAAGATATAGTAGCAGCAACAGGTATATAATTAATAAAGTTGTAAAAATATATAAAATAGGGAGTTGTAGATACGCGTATGAGAATATAATGTTTATTAAAATATTCTTACGAAGAATAGTAAGGCTAAAATTTGCAGATGCAAAGCAAAACAAACGTATTAATGCATATATTAATGCAAAGCTTCAATTGGCTTGAAAATGAAGATTGCTGTCATTTAATAACTTTGTAAAATTATATGGAGAATGTATAGATTGTCATTTTCAAACGAATGATGCCGTTTTAATGAAACATGCGGTATTTGTTCCATATTATGATTTATATTGATTGCATCTTGTTGTATATTATAAAATAATAATAAGAAAAATATTCTATGCCAATTTATGTTAATATAATATAATATTTAACATTTTATGAAATATACTTTAGATTAAATTATTATAAAATACGTATTTTTATACTCTCGTAGATTTAGCTAAATTGAGAGCAGAACTTGAAACAGTAACTAATCAGCACAGTAGCCTGGTGCCGGTAGATTTTAAAATTAAAGATGGAGTAAGCGATGATGTCGTCGGAGATAAAATATATAATTTATATCTTGATGGCGTATCTTCAGAGGAAAGATTAGGGTATCTTATTAGGGTAAGTTCAGTAACATTTTCTTCCATTTATTGAACGAATCTAAAATGGAAAATACCGTTTTAATATTTTAGTACCACAGTGACAACGAATTAACCAAACCAGTGATTAAACATGCTGAGCTAGCGTCAAATTTAACCGACGTTTATTTCTACATTTTTTCACATGACGGACCTATGGGTAACTTTAACAAAACTGTACCAGGTATTTATGCAACACGTTTAAAAAAGTATATTATTTTCTTTGCTTGAAAGAACTAACTAATAAATGACCACAAAATATCCACTATTATTAATTAATATTATATTATATAAGTATTACTTATGTATTTTCTATTAAACAAAAAAAAATACTTTAAATAAACTTTTAAAATTGAAATATGTAGGTATGTGCTGTTGGTGTGTAAAAGTCTCCTGAGTTTTGAATAAAATTTACACAAGACAATAAAAAATAATTAACCTTAACTGCTAACGTGCGGTCTGACAGTATGTCTAAGGGCGCAAACATAGTGAGGCATCTCGATGCGATGCTCGCCAAGATGCTGGCCGCGCTGCTCGCCAGGATGCTAGCCGCGATGCATCCTACGCGCACTGTTTTAAAACGGCGAGTAAGTGCGCGTAGGATGCATCGCGACTATCGTACAAACATAGTGCGGGGCATTTTATCTCGATGCGATGCGCGCCATTCACCTCGCCATCCGGCGATGCTGAATCAAACATGTACAAATTTATGCGTCAAAACATACTGGAGCCTCGCACCTAGCCACGCACCTAGATGTTCAGCGCGATGCTTCCTAAAAAACAAAATTTTTGTTTTTTGCGAGAAGCGGACGCGGATGCCTGAAGCTTTATATTTGATTGGTCGGTTTAGGATCACAATTCGTTGAGCATGTCAAACTAGAGTCGGGTGGAATAAAATGTTCACAATACTAATATTTAATTTATCACCAACAATGTAATAACCTTGATTCTACAGGGTCCGGCAATAGTGCGTCGGGCATCTGTAGTTCTAATAATAAAAAACTTATGAATTTTGTAGTCCAGACATAAAGTATGTATTAGGATGTATTTGAGGAAAATATTTGAACTTCTAAAGGGTGGCTCAAAAAAGTGTGAGTGGATCGCGAATATTTTTTTTAAATGGAACACCTATATACGGGGTGGCGCAACTCATTCGCGTCGGTTGATTATACGAAAAGGGAAATATGTAGAAACAAAATATTTTATGGGCATATGTGGGAAGACCATGTGCATAATTTAAAATTATTTTGAAATGTACAGGTTATGTCAGAACTAAGATTTACACCAAAATTATATTTTTTCTTATGGAACACCCGATATTTTATTTCTTATTTGGATCCTTGAACACAAAATAAGGCATGTATTATAAGGGTTATTATATATTAATATGTTTACAAGCTTTGGTTTTTGAGATATTTAAAGATATTTAAATATGCATGCTACAATGGAATAGATTATCAACACCCTGTACATTATTTTTTAGAATTAATTCTTGTGCTGAGTTTAAAGATAGAGAAATAAACTTTACTGAAAAATTGTATTGCTGCCTCAATTTTTTTTTTGGTACAGGGGTACCAAAAATTGATGATTTATTTTAAATATTTATTTTACACAAAAACTTGTTATTTCAAATACGACAACCTATTTTTTAAAATAAATCGAAACAGATTCAAATGCTCTCAAACTACATATATTAGGGTGTCCTATACCTATCTAGCTCAGATTTTGAATAAAGAGCAATTTTTCAATAAAATGGCAACAAAGGGGGCTGATGTCGTCATGGCAAGTTTCTAGTGACAGTAGCTATTTTCAAAATCGAAATTAGTTTATGGACTTTATTTATTTATAGCAAGTACTTTAATCACTAGTTGTTTAAAAAAAGTATACCATTAATATTGCAAATTATATTTTATCCTCTCATAGTATATGTCTTTTTAATTTTTTGATTATGTAACGAGCGCTTTGTTTACTGACTTGTTTCGTCGAACTGCTTGAAAACATTTTTGCTTTTGATCAAGTCGGTGTAAGAAACTATGAAGCTATAAAATTTTGTTTCAGGAGAGTTGAATATCCGGGAAAATTGAGTTATTGAATGTAATTGCACCCAACAACGCCCTAATTGCGCTCTCCTTTATGCGTTAACATTTTTCGGCAATTTTATTAACATTTGACATTGTCACAACACAGCATGACGCCGACGCCTAGTTCGAATTCTTTTTCATTTATTTTTTACTATCCGAAACAGCGTTACATCACCCAAACCTAGTACCTCAGTGTTTTATCCCTTTTTGTCTCAATAACTGCACTAGCAAAAAACTAAAATACTTATATATTATAACAAAACCACGATTTCAATATTATTCTATGCGACCAACATGACGGCGACGTGAAATAGATAGGGATAATTTCTGATTTTTGCCATTGACTCGCTGCGGTAGGAATTTGTTGAAATCAACTGAAATTCACGAAGCCTATACTAACTAATAACTACTATTACGTAAACTGGTGCTTAATAAAACGGCGATGGTAAATGTTTACGCACACCTATTCGCCGTTTTAAAACAGTGCGCGAAGGATGCATCGCGGCTACCATCCTGGCGAGCAGCGCGGCCAGAATCTTGGCGAGCATCGCATCGAGATGCCTCACTATGTTTGTGCCCTAAAAGATGATGTAAACAATAAAAAACACATTATTTTATCTGGAGGATTAATTTATAAATTATATAAGCTTCATTCAGAACCTCCCAATTAGTGGTTTCAATTACACTTTACAGTTTTTAGTTTACGATCCTACCAAAAATATCCTAGCAACAGCTTGCGGTAGTCTGTTGTATCCATAAAGAAAGTATAATATTTAGATTATAAAATAATAAACTTTTGATTTCCAACCAAAATTTTTCAAAAGTATAATTAGTGGAAAAGTCAAAAATTTGTTAACTTTTTCCAATAATTGAAAATTACTACCACTAAGCATGACGTTCTGAATGCTTACATTAAAATTAGATGAACAAACTTTTACGGCTAATTGAAACTACTAATTTATTCCACTGATTTCGATGTTCTGAATGAAGTTTTAAAGTACAAGGCAAATATCAAAATAAATTAAAATACACCTCTAATACAGAACCAATTTAGGTTTTTTAGTCATTGCATCCAAACATATTTTTAATGAATGTTTCTTCATAACCATGGTGGATATTTAAATTATTTTTTTCGTGTTTTCGGATAATTCTCCCAGTCGTTATCTCCCGATCGATCATATTCAATAATACCACAGATATTTATTCAATTGTTATACGCAATTCTATTGAGCTTCAAGTCAGTTTATCGATCTTCTTTTGGAAACAAAGATTGATAATCAAATTCCATGCCAAATTTTTGAAAAAGCTAGTCTGAATCAGAATCTGCCCCATCTATTTCTTGAATTACAAATGTATCTTATAACTCATAATATTCCCGTTAAATCTTATACCGGCATCATTTTGATCTCCAAGGTTTTAGGACCATTCTTCAAATTTTGCGTCATTAGAGAGCATATATACGATTTGGAAGCTGCTTATAATAATTTTCAACTTAACAAAAACATCGCAGATAGTAAGTAGATTGATAGAAGTACAAAATTGTTATCGTGAGACCTCGGAGACTCCGATGACATATTTTGGTATCATTGCACTTAACCTGTTGTCAATTATTCTGAGTATGCGTATTCGTTCCGGATGTTGACAATAAGCAAAGTGATTCGAACTTTACTGGATGCTGATCTAAATAATCCTCCTGTAGGAAGGAAAAATCGAGTTCTGAGTTTTTTCAACCAGGACATTTTGCGTCTTCTAGGTCCTCTTTTGCCTAAGACCTTTTCCTGGAGTATAAGCTGAAGTAGACCATCCCAAGTAGCAAATTTTATTTTATAAAGGCTGTATAAACAGCTATGTGATAATTTTAATAGGATACCTCAATTCATATAACGTGCTATAAGACCGTAATATGATAGCTTTACAACCAAAAAAGGCCTATTTTTATACAACCGTTTAATAGTATAGAAGTTCTATAAAAAGGGTATACAACTCTTATGCAACTATTTTACACAACGTTATATAACTATTATAAAACTAGTTTTATTGTGTATTACGTGGTCACATCTAAGAAACAGAACAATAAAAACATTTGATCATTTAGCGTAAAAGAGTATTTTATTTTTTACCGAAGAATATTAGGAGCAAATTATATTTTAAGCGTGTCGTAAAATAAATCTAGAGGATGTGGATTGTTAAAAAGGAGACTTTACTCGACAATGAAAATGACGGGTAGAGCCAGAAGGTAGAACAAATATGTAATATAAAAAATCATTAATAGGGTTTGAAAAGTAGGGACAATTTTTGTTGCGCCGAAAATTTTACGGTAGATTATAGGTATGTATTTGGCAAAAAATTAAAGCGCTTTAATTTCGATTAAGGTTTACGTATAAATTTAAACAATAAAATAAAATAAAATTTTCAAAAATTCTTGTTTTTAATTTAATTAAACACTTTATTACTGTATGTGGGAATCTTATCACAAAATAGTTCTCAAAAATAACATTTTACAATTTATTTTGATGTTTTTAATTTTGCTTCATATAATGGCGGCCATAGGCCATAGAAAAATTCTACCTTAAACATGACGAATTATAATGCAACCTTTTTATTATAAATGAATCCCTTAAATAAGTCTTTGTTGTAAAATAAAACGGTATAGGATAAATATCTATCATTATGCACAATTTCCAGACACTATAGAACTATTTTGGCCATATTGAGATTTGTGACAAATAGATGTTGCCAAATCTCATTTGATTAGTATTTAAACTAACAAACATGATCAGATTTTCATGGATTCATGAACGCAATGCATTTCATGTATGCCCGACGAGTGAGCGGCAACCTAAGGACTTGGAAAAACAACAATAAAACAATACAAACATTGCTACAGTAAAACTTTTACATCAACGTGGCAACAATGCTTTGAAGAAACCAGACAACCCGAGAGATAAAGAGAGGCTTTTGGGAACCCAGGGAATTCTCGGGATTATTTGCCGTAATTTCGAGGAGTTTTTTTCTTACATGCTCTTTATAACTACCACTGCGTTTGTTAACTTTTTTCCAACTTTATCTAGAATTCATAATAGCTGTGATTGAGTATACTCGTACGTAGATATTACTTTTGCAACAACAACAATAACAAAATAAATAACTGAATTTAATTTAAAATGAGGTTATATTATACATTACCAGTTTTATAATGCAGATATTACAGCGAATTTATTTTGTTAATCACAATTTTATCGTATAAGGCTATATAACTGGTGTTGTATACAGCACCGTAGTTTAACGCAATAAAACATTCTATCATACAACGTAATACAACTTTAATAAGACAAGTTTAAGTAACTATTATATGATCTTGTGACTACTAGTTATATGAATATTATAGAACTCTTACATGGTGGGTATAAGAGTCTAATAAAATAGTATGTTTGTTATCATATAGCATTGTCTTATTAAGTGTTATATCATAGTTATATCATACTAAAAGAAATTATCGTTTAATGCGTTATAGGATACGTTATAAAAACTACTAGAAAATAGTTTAATATGACAACTTTTATTAAAAACAGAATGGTCGAAACCAAACGCTTAATAAAATCAAGCAGTCCTTAAGACAACGCTATTCGACTGTTATAAAATAATTCAATCATTTTAGAATTTCTTTTTGCTACTTGGGATATCACTTTTGATTCCTCATTATGTGCCCCAGATATTATAATTTTCGTTTGTTTGATAATGTCCACTATTTCGTTCTCCTTTTTAAGCATTTCCAAAACGGTCTTGTGGGATACGTGGCCTACTCAGGGGTTTCTCAGAAGTCGTCTGTATAGTCACATCTCAAAGGCTTCAAGTTTTTTTGTCAATGCTTCTGTCAATGTCCAGGACTCAGCACCATGCAGGAGCACAGACCAGACATAACACTTAAGTAGTCTTAGTTTGGTCTGTAAATTAAGATCTGTACTCTTGAACAAATTTTCCATTATAAAGAAAATTTCTGTTGTCAACAGTCTAAGAAAATTAATCGTCAAATCTCCGAGTGAATCCTAACTCCCCACTATGCATTTCTTCTTTGTTATTACATTATGAAACAAAGTATACCTAATTACCGAGGTGGTATATTACAGTGTGCTACAAATTCGTTGTACGAGCACTGGTATCTCAGAAACCGTAATAGAGAATCAATTTTATTTTTTCCTGTCGTTTCTTTGTAGAAAAACGAAAAAAGTAATTGCACATTCTCATAGCCACTTTACCACGGCAATCTGTTAGCAATTTTAGATTTTCTAATTAGCTGATAGTTTGTGAGATACATAGACCTACTTCATTTTTTTTAAATACGAACCAAAGGCAGAAAACCAAATATGTTCTACTGTACTTGGAACATTCATAAACATGACAACACATTCCAAAAGAAAATTACCTTTAAGTACGTTTTAAATATTACAGGTGCTGGCAAAGTAGGGCATAGTGAAGATACGAAATACTTATGGAAAGTGACTTCCAATACCTACCAAAATGGGGATTTGTCTCAATTTCCAACTGCTGATGTCATAACTCATAAACGACTTATAGAACTATGGACAAACTTTGCCAAATACTTGTAAGTTTACAAAAAAATAGTTATTTTATTTTAAAGATTTCTTTTCCAGTGATTTTTGTGATTGAACCTCATATTTTTTTTAAACTAAATTTATTGAAATATGTCTACTCGTATAATAAAATAAAAGTCGATATGATCAAATAGAGTTCAAATTGATTAAATTTTGATATTTAAGTTAGTTTATTAACAACTTTACAGAAGGAGAAATTTTTAGACTTTTTACTCAGATCTAGAAAAAAAGGGCTAGGTTAAATAATTAATTTTACTTAATAATACAGGGAGGGTCTTAAATAAGTGCAAATATTTTCAAAGCGGGTAGATCTGGATATGGCAAAAAGTTTGACACTTTATATCAGTTTAATACAGAAGTTTAACATTATACGAGTATTTTCGTACTTTTGTGCTTAGGCGTAAAAATGCTTTTTTCTAGGCATAAAATTTTTAGACGTTAAAATTACTTTTTACACTGTCAATCACGTCGCAAAAATTAATAACTTTTGTGACGTTTGAGAAAAAATACTTATAATTATTTTTTTAAATGGTCTATTTTGTGAAATTTACATTGATTTATCATTATTTAGTATTTATTTGTAATAATTAATTGAAAATTTGGACAGTTCGCAATAAAACCTATTCCATAGTATTCAGAATTATTTAAAAATTTTAATTTTAGGAATCCGACTCCTGAACAATCTGATCTGTTGCAAAACATCACCTGGCCTAAAGTAACACCAGACAATTTCCAATATCTGGATATAGGAGACGACTTAGTTGTTTTAAAAGATCCTAAAGCACCTTACTACCAGTCATGGAGCGATTACTATGACCTCTACGCAAAAAGACCATTTACTACATTTTAAATCTTAAAAATAGCAAAAGAATAAAAATAAAATGAAATAAAACAATATTCGAAAAAACGGTATATTATTTTATACATCACAAAATGTTGAAATAAAAAAAAATCTTGAAATAAAGAAAAATCTTAAAAGGCCATATTACAATGCTTGGAATCAGTATTATGAAAAATGGGTTACTAATTCTCTTACAACTTTTTGAAACATACTAATTAAGGTCAGTTTGTAAATATCTTAATTAAATAATAAAAATATACGAAGTATAGATCCGCTTTATATATAGTCATCCTGATTTTTGTCGAGTATTTTACCGTTGAAAAGCGATTTGTAATAAAACAACATTTTTAAGATACTTTGAATATAAAAAATGTTCATTTATTAATTCTCCATCTAAGAAGGAAATAGTATACAGGGTGTTCCGCTTAAAAAAAAAACGGAGAAAATTTATTTTATATTTTACTAAGTTTGGCATAGAATTTTGAACACCCTGTATGGTTTAAGATTACGATGTTTATAGAAAATTAATTACAGACCAACTATAGTATATACCTTCTATATACAACTATAATATAGCCACTTGTCGACAACTAAACAAAAGACAAAAAAAACAAACATTGGATTTCTGATAGCACATTGCTAAAAATTGAACAAAGACCAACATTAGTGCAAAGTGGTATAAAAACACAAGATGAAAAAGATAAATATAGAAAAATAAATACAGAGATCAAACACAGTTGCACCATCGACAAGAACAACTACTATGAAAAAATATGCCAGGAAATAGAATCCCACGTTTTCACAAATCAACCAGGGGACCTATTTAAAAAGATAAAGTACCTCACAAGAGAATTCAAGCCAAAAACATGGGCAATGGAAGACGATCGAGGACAACTTAAAACCGAAATTAATGAAATAGTGGAACGATGGCGAACATACTGCGGAACACTGTATAAAGAAAAAGATCCTCAGCCTAGTTGCTCTTTCCACAGTGATATAATTAATGAAGAACCAGACATACTGAGATCGGAAATTGAAGCAGCAATAAAAAACCTAAAACATCATAAAGCCCCGGGACCAGATCACATCACGGCCGAAATGCTCCAAGCGCCGGGAGATTTTGGTGTGGACATCTTGCACAAGTTATGTAATATGATATGGCATACTCACCAATGGCCATCAGATTGGACCGATTGTTCCATAATAACCATCCACAAAAAGAGATCTCCAGCCAAATACGACAACTTTCGTACCATTGCGCTAATTTCACATGCCAGTAAGATTCTTCTTCATATCATTAACGAAAGGTTAAAACCGTATATTCAACCACAAATCCCTCCAGAGCAAGCAGGATTCACAAGAGGTCGAGGAACACGTGAACAAATTTTGAATGTCCGTCAGATTATCGAAAAGGCCCGAGAATTTAACAATCCGCTCTATATTTCTTTCATAGACTATCGAAAAGCTTTTGTCAAAGTCAAATGGTCAAAACTATGGATGGTTGCGAAGAAATGGGCGTGCCTCTTCATTTGATTTCATTGATCCAGAATCTCTATGTAAATACCAAAAGTAGAATTACCATCAATGGCGTTACTTCGGAAGACTTCCAGCCTACCTGTGGTGTTAGGCAGGGGTGCATACTATCTCCTCAGTTATTCAATATATATATATATATATATATATATATATATATATATATATATATATATATATATATACTGAATATATCATGAGAAGGGCATTGGAACATTGGCCAGGGGGGATAACAATTAATGGTCACAAAATTACCAACCTCAGATTTGCAGACGATACGGTCCTTCTAGCGGGAAACGAGGAAGAGTTACTGCAGCTTCTAAAATTGGTTGCAGACGAAAGCGAGAAACTTGGACTTGAAATTAATCCCTCTAAAACAAAAATTATGATTATCGACAGGCAAAACAACAACAAACCTGATGTAGTGAGCATTGGTCGTTTTGAGGTTGTAAGTCAATATATATATCTTGGGTCACTTATAAACAACACGGAATCGTTAGAAGGGGAAATAAGAAGAAGATGTGAAATGACAAGAGTGGCAGTGCGACAACTCTCAAAGATATGGCGAGACAAAAACATATCTAAACACTTAAAAAAAAGGTTTGTTCACTGCCTAATATTTCCTATATTAATGTATGGCTCCGAGTCCTGGACGATGAGACAGTCAGAAATGAAAAAAATTGACGCAACTGAGATATACTGTTGGCGACGAATGCTCAGAATTCTCTGTACTGTCCGGCGAACCAATGAATCCATAATCCAAGAACTGAACATCATAGAACGCCTCTCAACTTCTATACAGTCACGTATACTTAAATATTTCGGTCACTTTATGAGGAGGGATACTGACTGTATGGAAAAACTCATTATACAGGGCAAGGTTCCGGGAAGAAGACCAAGAGGCCGCTCGCCCTCCCGATGGATAGACCAGCTATCAAAAATCACCCACAAGCCACTGCACACGCTTGTACATGAAGCACAAGACAGGGAATTATGGAGACAAACCTCACACATCACCTGACCACTACATTCCTTTTGTAGGAATAAAGACAGAGGGACAGAGAGAGAGAGAGAGAGAGAGATAGTATATACCTAGTATAGTCTTAATTTCAGAGCATTTCCTGTATTTTTAATATTTTTTTTTTAAAAAGGGCTATTTTTTTTATTTATTTAATAATATCTCTGAATACATCTAAACATATTAATGTTGGTTTAGGATTATGCAAAGTGTTTCGAAAGGAAGCGAAAAATTCAATAATATCCACGCTGTTCCATTAAAAAAAAATCATCCTGATCCATTTTCACCATCTATTTCACATTCTTCATCACTATTTTGAGCCACCCTGTAGAAGCTAAAATATTTTCCTAAAATACATCCTAATACATACTTTAGGTCTACACTTATACAAAATTTCTAAGTTTTTTTTATAGGAGTTATAGATGTCCGACGCACTATTGCCGGACCCTTTATACAGAGTGTCCCAAAAATGATGGATCAAATTAAAGTTGGAGGTAGGGAAGGTTATCTCCAACAAAAAAAGTCCTATAGACATATATACGATTCCTTACCGAGTTATTGTTATTTTTGTAATTTTTATTATAATCTCACATTTCTTCATAATTTTTTTTTCAAATAAAATTTTAATAGCATCCATATAAAGGCTTCTTTATTGTACAAGGCATTTTTTTATTGTGCGTGGTGATTACGCAACCTACTGTTATTTTTAAGCACATTTTTAGGACTTTAATTGAAAAACTTTAATGTTTAATTTTTCAGAAAAAAATACTCAATTAAAATGGTATCCCATAACATAAAAAACTACGGTCATGTATTCTTTTTTTAAATAGGGTACTTTTTAAAAATAATCAAATAATTGTCATCAGTTTTGTATTAATTTATGGGCTGGAATACTTAACGGCACTTTGATAGGCCCCTTTGAAATACCAAAAAGACTGAATGGAGCAAATTACCTTAATTTTTTACACGACGATCTAAACATCTTATTGGAGGATATTCCGATTGCTATACGTGCGAATATGTGGTTTCAGCTTGACGGGGCTCCCCCTCATTTTGCTCGCAATATGAGACAGTTTCTTGACCAAACATTTCCCAACAGGTGGATAGGGCGAGGAGGAACAATAAGAATGCCACCACGTTCGCCGGACTTAAATCCGTTAGATTTTTTTATGGGATACTTCAAGGAACAAGTTTATTCGCATGTAATTCATAACGAAGATGAACTTCGTGAAAGAATAGGAGCAGTGACACAGCAAATTCGTACCAATGTTCCCGCTTTAAGGCGCATATAACAAAATTTTATATGTCGATACAGATTATGTATTAGAGCAAATGGCGGACATTTTGTAACCTAATTATTATTAGTTTTTTTTATGTAAATAATTTCGTTATAAATAAACTTACTCATTACTATCACATTGTCTTATTTCTCTGATATTAATCAATATTATGTATTTATTTAAATTCACTTTTTTGACATTACAATTATTTTTAACAAATTTCAGCAATAACAATTATTTGATTATTTTTAAAAAGAACCTTATTTAAAAAAGAATACCTGATCGTAGTTTTTTATTTTATGGGACACCTTTTTAATTGGGTATTTTTTCTGAAACATTACCACAAACATTAATTTTTTTCAATTAAAATCCTAAACATATGCTTAAAAACGACAGTAGGTTGCGTAATTAGCACGCACAATAAAAAAATGCGCTGTACAATAAAGAAGCCTTTATAGGAATGATATGAAAATTTTATTTGAGAAAAAAATATCAACAGAAAATTTTTGAAAAAAAAAAATGGGAAGAAATGTGAGATTATCATAAAAATTACAAAAATAGCAATAACTCAGAAACGGTAAGGAATCGGACATACAGGGTGTTTCAAAACAAATGCGAAAAACTTCAGGGGGTGATTCCTTGTTCAAAATAAAGGGTAGTTTGCTTTATAAACGTTGGGTCAAAAGTCAACCATTAGGGAGATATCGCGGTACAAAGATGGCGGAAAAATAATGTTTTTATTTTTTATCTTGAAAATGAAAAGAGATAGACTAATGAAATTTTACGGAAGCATTACTGTTATGAAAACACACTTTCTGGTAATTTTTTCACTTTTTTAAAATGAGTGGAAGGGGTTGAAATAAACTACCCCTATCATTCTTGTTAATGAAATTTAAAGAAAAATCTTAACAAACACATGCAAAAAAAATTAATTTTGATAGTTTAGTTTATTTAGAAACTTTTTCATCTCTTGTGTTTTTTTGATAAAACTCACCGATTTGAAATAAAAAAATAAAACGTAAGGCATTACATGTCAGGACAAAAAACATTTTTAGATAAAGAATCTAGTGGGCAGCTGTAATTTTTTTTAGGAAAAAATCTAGTCGGCCGCTGTCACTTTTTAGGATGTTTCTAATATTGTTTTATTTGACATTACCCCACTGCAATACGTTATTATCTAGATTATTATTATTATCATTATTATCACTAGATTCTTAATCTAAAAATATTTTTAG